ATTGTCCTTGCCTATGCAGGGGGTTTGAACTTAATCTTTAAGGTTCTTTCTAACCCAAACCATTCTGCAATTCTATGACACTGGCAATTAAAAGTAGTTAGCAGGAGACTGGCTGGTGTAAACAGCTGCAGCCCATAATTAGAGCCTGTGCTCATTTCACCACTTTCTTAGTGTTTGCAGCACTGCTGAGCTGGTCCAGTGAAGAAAACATCAGTATGTTCAGGATTTTGAGCTACTGAAGATGTAAGTCCTGTTTTCTTCTAATCTAAGCTGTTGTTATAGCTGGAGCAAAGTCCCTCTCTGCAGGTTATGAATCGGTTTGGTTGCTAAAAGACTGTGAGAAGTAAGCAAAGAGTCATGCAAAGCTGAAGTTCAAAGAGCAACTAAAAAGACCCTTCTAGCTTAGGAGAAGCCTAATCTGATCTTCTAAGACTGAGATGATTTTGTAGGAAAAGCTGCATTTCATCAGTGAAGCACGAGGGGAGGAAAGGAATCGCTCTTGATTGCTGTTGCTGTTGGGTTTGTGGACTGAAAACAGCAAGGGAGAGGGAACGATATCCAATTAAGAATGATATTCCTCAGTCGCAGTAAGGCAAGCAATGCTCTGCAGTGCTGAGTCCCAGCTGCTCTCGTGTCCTTGGCCTGTTCTCCTGCAGCTGGGGAAGCACCCGTGGTACGAGCAGCACTGACAGAGTTCAGAGGGCCCTGTCTAAGATCTATCCCTGCAAGTTAAGGTTGTAGATTCCCTTTTATTTTTATATTGTGCATGGCTGGCAGATGGGGATTTCTTGCATGTTTGTGTGTTGATAAAGTGTTTGTGAACCTAAAGGACAAATCACCCTCCCCTGAAAATTGAACACTCACTCTACGACCTCCTGATCCTTGATGACTATTACATTAGTCAATTTGTGGCTGGCCCAGTAACCTGATAGCAGCGAATTATGGAGTTATGTGGGAACTCTGGTTTTTGGAACAGGCTGATGTTCCCAAGCTCTGGCCCAGCACTGCTAAGGGTGTGTCATCTGTGTAAGGCATTTAGAGGAAAGAGCGAACTGCAAAGCCACAGTCCCCAGAGCTTTCTAGAGGACAAAATATAGCAGCAATATTACATTAAGGTAAGAATGGGAACAAACAGAACTGTTTCCCCACCAAGAACTTTTCTCTGTAATGAGGGACTGATTAGTTAAACAGGCTTTCAAGCGACACTATGCTCAATTATCTGTTATACTAACAACTATTTAAAGTTTAGACATGGTAGGTCTGAGAGTGGATTTGTGCTGACCAAATGTTATGTCTGTACCTTCAACTCCACGCTTAAGGGTTTTACAGAATCCAGTATAGGTCACTAAAAAAGATTATTGCGTTTTTATGGGATAAGAACTGAAAGAAATTAAATCCTGACCTGTGGCAGAGGCAAGTCAGTCCTGGTGTCCACTTACACTTGTGCTGGATTTAGTCTACTGCTGGATTAAGGGTAACTACCAGAATCTTCACCCACCATCCCCATGCCAGTCCAGACTGAAGGAAGGAGAGGGATGACATCTGAGGGCCTAAGACCTCTGTATTTATTCACTCTAAATGTAATTTGTTGTTAAAGCCCAGTCTGAATGCCACTGATTTCAGCAGTCAGACTCCCACTATATTTTTTTAAAATTGCAGCTACCTTCAGTACTTATGTAGCAACCTAGTGCTTTTTCAAGCTTTCTCATGCATTCAGACTTCAAATTTAGAAATCTGGAAATTTGGAAATTAGAGAGTAAACTGGATTGTGATAGAGCCAAGTAATAAACAGCTGAAGTCATAAGAAACATTCAAAAATTTTAAAAAGAGCAACTTATATGTTACTAAGCGCCAGATTCTGTTCTGCCTTGCATATTTGTGCAGTTTGAGTCTCTGAATTTCAGGGATACCAGTCTGTGTGGACCCTCACAGTCAGCTTTCAGTTCTGGAGGAGGTTTTTCCACAGGGCCATTCTGCAGCTGATGGAAAGGTCTGGAATTTAAGATTCTTTCCTAAGCCACGTAGCAGGGTCCTTTGTCTGTGTAGGTCCCCCTGAATTCCAGGAGTTGTAAGTGTTGAGGTGTTTTTATTTTATACAATAGCAAAAGTGATGGCTTTCATTTTGTGCTTATTGATGTAAGTAAACACATGCACTTTGTAAGAAGTGCTTGAATTATTATATGGCTGTGTCCAAGGCTATCATATCAAACACATCGTTCAGAGCCAAGATTCTTGTCCAAGAACCCACCCAAAACTTTACTGTATGAGGTATGAAGCAATAATGGAACCCACTGATTCACCATTTGATGAAACCAGGAGTGCCCAGTATTGCCCAACATAAGGTTACTCAGGGCTCTAATGAAGTGTTTCTCTTTCATAAAAGGGAACAGATGTGGCCAATCTCATGAGAAACAGAGCTGTGACCTGCTGTGAGTTCCCAGTGGGCAAAGTTTCCTTCAGATCTGAGAAGTTGCTCCAGCTGAGTCAGAATATTCCTCTGGTACCACTATTCCTCCACAGACTAGGTTTCTAGATTCAGATCTGTGTTGCTCTAGGCTACATTCTACCATATTTCATTTAGTTAATGTATTGGCAAAATAGATTTTGCAAACTGTTGGAAACCTGACTGTTAGCTGAGAAGCTCTGCTCTATGGACCAACAGAGACTGCTCAAAACTGGTTCTGTCCTAGGGGCTTCTGGTGTATCTCACCCAGAGAATCAAGCCTTCTCTCTGTGATCAAGTTTTGGGTGACGAGAGATTGTGAATCTTCTTGCTGTTCTCTGAGGTAGAACTGGAATTGTGTTTGCCCCTGAAGTAACTCCAGTGGCAACAGGGTGAAGTAGAAGTACAGTCTTTGGACTGACAAATAAATGTGAAAATGGCTTTTGTGAGCTTGCACCAACTTTAGCAAGAGGATGTGCTAACAGTGAAGAGGAAGTAGGCTTGCGATAGCCACAGACCAGGTGAAGAGTAGAGAAATACTGACATGTTTGTTGCTGAGTGAGGATTTCTAGATTGATTCCTGCCTCTCCTAATGAACTAAAGTCTTTGGACCAGGCCAGACATGGGAGCTTATAAATCCAAACAATATCTTGGGCAAACAGTACAATAAGTGGTTATGCACTGGTTTTTTTCTGCATTGAAGTAAGCAGCATGCCGACATCCACTGCAGTTACTGTATATTGATGCAAGTGTTGCAGGGAATCCTGGTGTTCATGGCCAGAATAAACCTAACTAGCGTGACAGAGCATGTTCCCACTGGCATTCTTGTTTCCTCTCACCCCATCCTAGAGTCATTTGCTCAGTAGTATTAGTTATTCCGAGTTCCAAACCAGATCTTTATTAAAGCTTCCAGGAAAGCAAGAGCGCTGTGGATGTCCACAGGGCTTCAGTATCAAAGCCACAGAATAAAATTATAGATGGAAAAGACTCATCAGGTCATCTACTCAACCCACCAGCCAATGCAGAGCTGTTCTCTGCGGGGTGCTTTTTCCTTTCTTTGTCTTCATCAAGCCAGAAGGGTTTCTACAGCTTCCCTGGGGAGACTATGACATAGCTGACTAGTTCTTGCCCTTAGGAATAACTTTGAGCCTGTGAAATATCAGAAGCATTCTGTGTTTCATTTTGGTGGAGAAAAGGGTCTCTAAGCGAAGGTCCCTCAGTCTTATGACTATACTGTATCTCAGATGTAATTCTATATTAATGATTTCTTGTATACAGATCATATGAGGCCAATGCTGTGTCCCACCCCACAGCTGTCTCTTCCAGTAATTATTCCTTAGACAGATTTTTGTTATCTCTCAGTAGTAAGCAGTGCACAAACCCTGATCAATTGCATTTCACTTGGCAAACGTTCAGAATTTGCCCGGACTAGTGTTTGAAGTGTTCTGTCTGACTCTCACTCCTTTTAATTGTGCCAAAGTTCTTTGGCAATTTGTGATCTCGTGTCCCAGAAACACATAAAAAATCATAAGTCCAACGTATTTCCTTAGGTGAATTAAAAACACTCAACAGATGTTTACTAAAAACAACTGCATTTATAGACAGAGGACTCTTGACAGCTATTGGTTTAGTTCTTCCAAATGTTTTCATTCAAATCCCTTGGGCACTTACTGTTGATCAAGCATAACGTTCTGGCATCTTGATCTCTTGCAACGCCATGTTTCTGGCCAAATATATAAATGTTCTTTTTGACCTTGAGTATTGGGCATTAGCAAACACGAATCCAATAAAATACTTCCATAGCTCTTTAAATTTGCAGTCCTCTGACTTTTCTTGAAGACCTATGTGCATAGAAACTGTTCGAGTTGAGTATGGAGATAGTTTTAAAGCAATGCCAGTACCCTCAATATTCTGATGAGGGCTGTATCAGTTTCACAGTTCTCAGCTGCTGAAAATTGTATTTAGCATGCTGGATAACTTTAAATATATTAATTATAGAGCTATGGAAGGCCATGATTAATACCATTTGGTGATTGTTTGAGTTGTGCTTCACACAATGAGCAAGGATTCATAAGAAGCCTTTGTCTGACTGCCACTTTGGCTGTGGGAAGAGGGGGGAAATCTGAGTACCCAACGTGTCTTTGTTAGCAGTTGGATGTCATTTTCTTTTGTTTAGCATTTGCACAGTTCCCTATGTAATGTAGGAATATAATAAAGCTTTGCCAGCAACACCACCAGACTTTGGGAACATGCACAGACCAGTGAGACCATGTAAAATACTTTTATCAGAAGAGGCAACTTAATAGACCTATGATGGAGTTGCACCAGAAAGGTTTTCCCTGGACTATTGGCATATGCTTTAGAATGCTAAGCCAGGAGTTTTGCTGTTAATGTGATTTTGATTCTAATGCCTAACTTGTAAGCACTTCTGTTTTGCACCAGTTAAATACAGCTTAAATTATTTCTCTACTGTTCATTAGAAGTGAGCAGATTTCACATGAATTTTTCAAGATCCTATTTAATCATCCTACCCATTTCCTGCCAGCTGATGGCACACCTGGAGATGAGAGTTTGGTGATCCAGAAGGTAGAGATCAATGAGCAAAGGTGTGAGGAGAAAAGGTTCCATCCAGGGAGATCCTAGGGGAATATAAGATACAAGTTAAGCCTCAGCTTTCTCCACATCTACTCTATTCACACAGTCACAATATTTGTAATAAACTCCCATATCATTTCTAACCTGGCTTAGTATCCACAATGTAGTATCATGATGAACAAACCTACCACAGGCAGACAGTCCTGATTGTGATGTGACATTGTTTTTATTGATCTGTGGCTCTAGAGGCACTGAGTGTTCTCCAGCAGCTCAAATATACTGGAAGAGTGACCCATTTTCTGGGCAGATGTTGTTAGCACGCAACAACACGTGTTGTTGTGCACCAGCTCAACAGTGGGATAAAGTTAAGTCTTCCAGACAACCATGGCTGTGACTTTGCATGAGTTTGTTCAGCCTGAGTGCCAGCTTAAACAGATCCTATCCCTCTCCTCATCCAGCTGTTCTCTTATTTTGGCAGCTACTCAAAATGTCTTGGAATAATTGCAAATGAGTAATAATGTTTCATTTAGCTTGTATGCAGCCCTGGCATCAGTGATCATTTGCATGCTGTAATATGCGCATAGCCATGCCTTGGACACATGTTCTGTACATTTGAATAGCAAACTTCAGGAGAAGGGGGACAGAGGTGGAGTCCAACTTGTTATTATTGTTACTAATGTGGTTCTCATAGTTTTAAAATCAACTTTATTAGCCAAAAATGATGTAAAAATAAATAGGCAGGTTCTGCTGGCAAGTAGGTGGCCAGGAGCAGATAGAACAGAAAAATCAAAAAACCTGTTGTAGGAACCAAACTACCTGGAAGTGCCTGAGCTATGCTTTTCTGCTCAGTCCAGGCTGTCCCATAAATGCTAAACATCTCAAAGGTCATCCAAATAAAAAGTAAATGCAAACAGAGGCTACTTTCTCCCACACAGCAGATCTCTAGCCTGCTCAGGATACAATGGTGAAAGCTTGCCTGTTTTGACTGTTAGTCAGACTTACTCAGCTGGCGTTTGGGAAAGTTATGAACAGCAGTCTGGAGGCTCTTTGCAGGTGACCTGGGGTGGGACACAACATCTGTCATGCTTCCAGAAATAGGAGGCCCTCTTTAAAACCACTCTTAAAGCCTTTCTTGGCTGGAAACTGATAACAAGATGTACAGTGAGGAATGATTTTCTGACAGAAATACCAGTACCTTGCTGCCTCCCTGGAGCAGCAGTTTGGCTTTTCACTTGGTAGCAGTCTTCCAGGCAGTGAGGTTTATTCAGTTTTTCCTGGAAAACTTTTAGTAGCTTAATTGATATGATTAATATTAAAACCCAACCAACCAGGCAAAAAAACCCTCACCAAAATAATGAAGTGGGAGCACTGAGTCTGTTCTTATTCAGCCGTCTCCTCTTCACATCTGGGGAGGGCAATGAGTTCTCTGTTGCTGGATGCATGATTTCCTGTCATTGTCACAGCTCCTTCTTCAATTTTCTCACATTACTGATGCCTCAGTGCAAGCTGAGAAGAAAGGTAAGAACAGCAAGGAAATATCCTACTTTATCCCCAAACAAAACACCTCCTTCTTCTCTTTGACTGCTTCAGCCCACATATGTTGCTAAGATACAGCCATAGATAGGATGAACAATAAACTCCTGCAGAATTTCAATGGCCTGAATTACCTGTAAGGCTGACAGCTTGGCTCCCTGCCAGCAATAGCTGCAAAATGGAAGCGTAGGAAAGCGAGACTGAGGTTTTGTGTTTGCTGCTGTGAAAACCTGACAAGTGGGGATTCCTTGACGCTGTCCTGCACCCTAAGGAAGGGTCCCTGTAATTTGGCAGTGACCAGAGTGTAAGCTGGGCAGGCAGGGAGGTTGCAGTCAGGACCGAGGTGTGTTAGCAAGGCAGCATTGGGTACTCTGCCATGCTTCCTAGACATGGCACAGTTAGTTTAGCTGCAAAGGAAAGACGTTTCCTTCCAACTAGGACACATAGTTATTTTGTCTTGGACACTTGGAGACAACCTTTCAGACTAGGAATCCATAAACCACAAAATACTCACGTCAAAAGAATCTGGCCAAAGATGCTACATTCATGACTGTTTGTGTTTTCTTTTTCCTCCTGCAAAACGAAAGCAAACTAATTCCTTTGCTATAAACAATAGCAGATAAAAGATAACTTCCTTCAGCTCAAGACTACAAGGAATATTAATTGATACAAACCTCTTATTTGTTACAAAATTTACCATACAAATGTTGTCTACAAAGCCAAAGATTAATATAAAATTTTTGTGATGTAATGAAAAAAACCATCAAAATCTAAGGGGAAAAAAGTAAGTAGGCATATACAGCTCACATATGTTTGTTTAAACATACTTTACATATTCAAATACAGTAGTTACTTTCTGGATGAGGGCTCGCAATATAACATTAATCTGTCAGTTTTTCAGACTTGGCAGGTTAAAAGGCTTTCTTGCTGTGTTCTGAGTAGGAGAAAAGCATCACTTCAGTGGTAAAGAGCTAAATAACCACAGTTTATGCAGGGAAAGTTCAGGAAAATAATTACGTAAATTCACTTCAGACCTGATCCTGCAACCTTTAACCATGCAGTGACATTCTCTGCCCAGCAGCAGACCCAAATTTACACTTTGCAGGATCACATCCTTACTAAGGCAGAGATTGCCAAATAGCTGTTGGTGAGGGAAGCGCCATGTGTGCCAATTCTAGAAACCAGGAAGGCAGTACACTCTGCCCTATATTTTCAGGCTTTTTGGTACCTTACATAACTAGGTGCAAAATACTTATTTTTATTTCTGGTTCTTTTCTTTGGAAGTGCAGTCATGTGCATTCAGGTGGAATAAGTGTGCTGATAATTTTCCTTCAGAAATTGTAATGGTTAGCGATGTGGACACTTTTCTTTTTAGGCAGAAACCATGAGGCACTGAAGCAAGCATTCACTTTTCTTGCACTTGAGGTCACAAATTTATGCAAGTCAAAAATGTTGAGCCTGCCAAAAACATCATGCTACACTCCACCAAATAAAAGGACACTGTTATTCTTACAAGGAAAGGTTTGACAGGACAGGAAATAGGCAGGGTCATAGAAGTTTACTTACCAAAACTGATTTAACCATCTTTAAGCCAAAATACAATGTTAGTTATTAAAAAAAAAAAAAAAATTAGAAGGGAGGGAAGAGAAATACAAGAGCTCCAGACTATGTCATTACAGGAGTAGCAACTAATACAGAACTAGGTAACCTTAGTAAAAATGTACATAATTCAGGATGCTATACGTCACCTGCCCTTACTGGGTTAACACATACCAAGTAAGTTTTAATTTATATCCTGAACTTGCAAACAGAGGATTCTGATTTGGAAAATCCAGTGCAGAGTTTACCAAGCTATACATTAATTTCATCACAATGCAATCCTTAAGTAGACTGCATTCCACTTAAAGGAATGGAGGAAGAGAGAGTAAGAAGAGAGTGAATATGAAAGATAGGAAAAATGTTGCTGTTCATTACAATTTTCCATTTTTGTTGAAACGCAGCAGGAGAGCAAAGCCACAGGCTTCTCTACTGCTCTTGCATGCCAGGAGGGATTATGCAAACACTGCAACCACCCAAATCTTATTTAAATTATAGTCATTGTTCCCGCTTTAATGGTTATACTTTTGCCTGCTTTCACTCAAATATTGCTGCATCTTGCTTTCCGCCAACATAGTCCCAATGGGAGTCATCAACTCTTAATTATAGATGAACAGATCTTTGAAAAATACCTCTGGAAAAAAAGTGGAAAAGAAAGCAAACTTTAAGTGCCATCTAGTGGCTGATCTAAAAAACATGAAATAGATCAAAAAAATTCCTAACGTGCCACGGAGTAAAATAACTGTTGCTGAACTGAGGAGGCAGTGCTTAAATGCCACTGAAGACCAGGTTAATACTCTGGGGGAAAGAAAAGGACTCAAGATCAGTAGGATCACTGCCATAGTTTTTCTTTTAAGATTGTTGTCCTCAAGTGGAGATTTCAAGCAGCAGGAATTGTATAGGGATCACGTGTTCCTTCAAAACTCTCATCAGTCATCAGGTTGAGTGAGTCTGTCATCTTCTCCTTGCTCATGTGAGAGGGTGAGTTTTATAAGCAAGGGTAAGTTAAAAACTACCTTCTGTGACAGGTACTGCTCTGTGCCTCCTGTTTATGTTTGCCAGATACCAAGATAATATGCTTTTGTAGTATAAATAATATTATAGGAAGAAGAGAGCATTAAAAAAATAACTTGGAGGGTATTTCTTTTTGTAATAATGAAATTGTGGGACGTTAAATAAAAAAGGAGTGAAGAGATGCAGAGCTTGGTTTGAACCAGAAAGCAGCAAATGCTATTGTAAGAATTCTCCATTCACTACCAGTACAAAGTTTCCACAGGTGTCAGTGAAGGCCTTGATCTGCAATAACAACTTAAGAACTTTCACTGCATTGGTAACTCTTGTTGCCTGGTTAGATTTGTGTTCTATATATGGATTTGCGGCTCCACTGGAAGCAAAACCCCATCACTCGGATTGTTACCCCAGTGCAATGGTTTGGTGCACAGGGAGGAGTCAGTGTAGAGGTGAGCTTGAAACCATTTCTCATTTGAGAGATGCTTTTCTAAGGTCCTACTGAGAGCCCTGCAGAAATCTAAAATTCATTATATGCCTCTCCAGATAAGTACTGAGAAGCAGTGGAAAGAAATCCCACTATATTAACTTTCAAAATAAGTGAGCCTTTTTTGGTAATAACACTTAGATACTGGTTTTTAAGTTGACAACTTACAGCAGGCATGAATGTGTTTCTTCCTCATGTTTCTGAAACAGTATCTCAGGAGCTGCCTTTTCTAGCAAATAGTATCCCTTCTTATCTCAGAATCTGGGTATTATTTTCAAAAATGGAAATTAGATCAGTTTCTGACACAACAAATAATGACTATCAACAGAACTTGAACCTCTTCCTCGTAGGTTGCTGTTCCAAGCAAGATCATCTTGTAGAATCTTCTAAAAAGGACTTGCCACAGTGTATTCCCCTACTGGGTTTTTGCTTTGGGAGGTGAGAAGAAAAAAAGAGCAGCAAAACTTGCTCTTGGACTTACAGTATGACAAGAGGAAACAGCTTTACATAAAGGAATCAGTTATTCTAAGACCTATAAATAGCCTTTGGTAATTGGAGGTCCTTTTTGGCAGGTAACAGAATGGAAGAAACTCAAATGTCAAGCTCAGCTTTTCCATTTAAAGCTGCACTGGTGTGATGTGCTCCTTGCTCTGGCCTGGTGAGCCAGCTCAGGAAGGTCTGGGTATACAAATGCAAGGACACGTTGTGATGAGGGGCAGGGAACAGCAACAACAACAAAGACTAATAAGCTTATCATGCACATGAAGGGAAGGACTTTACCCCAGACAAAGATGAATGTACTTAATTGTTTCAGCACTGCCAACAAGGTAATGACTATCCCATAGCTGAAGAAATACAAATGTTTTCATACTACACTTTATTTTGCAGCTCACTGTGGGGGAAAATGGAGTTAAAATATACAAAATGTGTAATGTTTTGGGCCTATTTCACTGCAAATGGTTAGTTCTAGACAAAGACATAAAACTAATACCAGTAAGATTATTCTGATCTGAGACTACCACAGAGAATGAACATCTTAAGTCTACAAAAGGCCCACCTTTCCATTTCTGAAGCACTACTTAAAGCACATTTCATACCTGTAACCTTTCAGCCAAGAAAATCTAAAAAGAACACTGATAGCTACAGGAAAAAAATATTTGAGAGCCTTACAGCTCTTTTCTAATTCTTATGTAAAGTGGAAAAATAGTCATTATTTTTTCCTTTTTTGTTCCTGCTCTCCTGTGCCTGTTCTTTCACCTGAAAGGTTTTGAGTCATTTAAGAGATTCCCACCCTTAAAGAACGAGGTTCGGGACAGATTCCAAAATGGACAAAACTGAACTGAAAAAAACAATTTGTGCACTGCTTCAGTAATTCATACAGTAACATATTCATAGATTTGTCAACAAATATTTCAACAGCATATTTCATAGCACGTACTCTATAGAAGTTATTTCCAGACAAGTTGTTATTTAGCTCAAAAACTGTATTGTTTGCTCTTAATATAACAGTGGAAAAATTGGCTGCTTGAAGATCAGCTAAGGATCAAAGTCATAATTTCAGCTTTGAACAGAAACACGAGTATTTGGACAGGTTATAGAAGATGCAATAGTAGTATCTTTGCCTTTTTCAGGGGTCAGAGTGGGAGGTGATATCGAAATGTATGAAATAGGCTCAGTATGAAATCCTGAGCCACGTGGAAGATGGATTTCAGAACATTAACGCAAACTGGCAAAATTGGCCCTTTTACTTTAGGTGAGTAAAATCAAATCATGAAGTAATTTCTTAATTTATTAGAGTATAATCAAAACATAAACAACATACTGTTGAGGACTAAACATCAACTGGATCAGTGAAACCAGTCATGCATATCTCCCCATTATGCAAATTCACTGCCTGTAAAAATAGACAGGAGGATACAGAAAAGCTGCAATAAAACTAGAAATGTTTTTATGCAGTCCTAAAATCCCACTTCTAATTCAAATGAAAATTTAGAAACAGTGTAACAAAAAAAACCAAAACATATACAGCGTATTCAAGTCATTCTCAGTTCTTCCCGGTAGAACCAAAGCCACCTTCACCACGATCCGTATCATTCAGAGCCTGAAAGACAACAATTCGGATAAGCTGGTTTAGTGCCTTTACTCTAGACATGATACTGTCTATCATGGAGAAAGGTACATTTTACCTTCAACAGGAGCTATGATTGAAAAACCAAAAAAATTTTTATGAAACACTTTGGAATACTTTATGCACAAGTTTAAACAAATGCCACATTGTGAGACAACCATTTCTAGTACAGACTGAAGTGTTTCTCAAGTACCTGTTAACTCTGAAAACTACACACCAAAAAAAAATTCCACCTAGGGGTGGGCAACGAACCAAGACTTTCATTCAGGTAGAACTGCTGCTATGCAGTTTTAACACTCAAAGTAATTTTAGCAAAGTATTTATCTATATCATCAATTTCATCTTATATACAAATATCTTTAACTATTACTTATTGAAAATAAAAAATATTTTCTTTTGGCAACTTACTTCGACTTCTTCTAGCTCAGGATAATAAATGCGTTCACAGATGAGCTGGGCAATTCTATCCCCTTTTTTAACTGCAATGAAGTTAAAATATTATTAGTTCCTTCAAAAAGAGTGAATAATCAATACAGAGTTTAGACAGTTTCCTTTCAAGAGTATCAGAATGTAATAAAAGTGAAAGCACTTATTTGAAACTTAGTTAAGGAGATGTTGACAGCCCCAGAAAAACACAGGTAAAGATAAACTTGTGCTTAGTCCTTTTAATGTGAAGTATCAGCAGCTGGACCAGCTCAAGGCACTTCCATTCATTCCTGGCATCATTAAGATGCCATCCTGTGGCATCTTAAGTGTCACTATGCATAGGTAGTGCAGAGATGGAGAGACAGCTCTGTGTATAAGGTGGTTCCTTTTGTGAACTAGGCCCAGGAATTTGGGAGGAAAAAGCTGAACTGATAAAAGGAAAACAAGGTTTCTCACTGTGAACCCAACCTGGTTCACAGAACTTCCCTAAGAAGCTTGTGCTGTGAAGAGGCAGAAGGGGCAATATTTTAACTGGGCACTGAGGCTTAAAACTGACTGTTTCCAGAGAGACAGCATGATAAAAGAAAATTCCTATCTTTATTAGTTTCCCAGCATCCTGGAGAAGTTTTTATCCCAAATCCTGCTCAGCTGAATTTTCTTTTTTCCAGAGAAACAGAGAAACTTAACACAATCTGCACTTCAGTACAGATTGTGAATCTAAAGCTTAGCTAAATAGGGTTTTTTTGTTTGGTTTTGTGGTGGGGGGGTTATTTTTGGAGGTGGGGTTTTTTGCATGCTGCTTAATTTCCTATGAGTGGAATCTTTTTGTATTCCCTTGACAGGACTAAATTAAGTATCTATGTTTTTGTTAATTAAAAGAAGAAAAATGTTCTTAGCTAACTCTAACTCTCCATTAACTTTTAAAGAAAAGGTTAATTTCCCATTCCCAGTCAGATGGCTGAAAGCAGGCTCTGCCAAGCTCAACAATTACCTTCAAAAGTCTCCTTGCCAAAGTTGAAGAGCACTACACCAACATTTCCCCTGTAATCCTCATCAATAACACCGGCTGTCAGGAGGAAGAATTCAGAGGGATATCCAGTTAATAAATGTCAGTATATCAGATCGCTAGATTAGATAATGTTTAGATTAATAACTCATAGCAGTATCTCATACTGACATCCTTTATCCTACTCATGCACAATTAAACAATACATATGCAAATACTGAGACTCTAAAAATGCTAATCAGTCTTGCAAAAAGAACTGAAAAACACCATAACACGTCAGGAAGTGTTTTACCACTACTACTAATTTTAGTTGTAATACCCCATCTGAAATCACGACAGCTGGACCAGCTTCAGGCTCCATTTGTTCTGCTAACTTCAGCACTTTGAATGTCAAGCAGAAATCTGTTGTTAACTTTAACATTTCCTCTGAGAGCTATGGATTTGCACAGATCCAAATCCTGTACCTCTGGCAGGGTAACAGAACTGGAGCTTTAAAAAACTGATTGCCATTCAGCTGTATTTAAGTATCAAGAACTCTGAAGCTTGGAAAGGAGTACTAGGCAAGCACAGTGTTGGGAACTGCAATGATAACGGTCGCCTTCTGCTAGAGTTTGTGCTGAGCAGCAGCTTACCATCATCAACACTATCTTTCAGCAGAAAGATAGTCTGAAGACAACCTGGATGCATCCTAGGTCCAAGCACTGGCACCTCATTGATTATATCTTGGTCCGACAGAGAGATATCCGCGATGTCCGTCACACCCGCGTGATGCCTAGTGCAGAATGCCGAACAGATCATCGCCTTGTGCGCTGTAAACTTTACCTCCACCTTAAGTTCAAACCTAAAAAGGGCGGCATTCCTAGAAGGAGACTTCAAGTTAACAATCTTCAAACAGCTACAGTGAGGGACAGTTTCCAGGCAAATCTTCAATCCAGGCTTGAAGTTCATCCCACAGATCCCTCTCCCGAAGCGCTTTGGCAACTTATTAAAAATAGCATTCTGCAGTCCTCTGAAGAATCCTTAGGGTTCTCCTTCAAGAAAAACAAGGACTCGTTTGATGAAAACAATCATGAGATCCAGGAATTGCTGAGTAAGAAGAGAACTGCTCACCAAGCCCACCTTCTCAGCCATCTTGTCATATAAGAAAAGCAGCCTTTCGACTCACATGCAGCAAGCTACAACAGAAACTTCGTGATGTACAGAACAAGTGGTGGACCAATCTTGCAGAAAAAATCCAATTATGCGCAGATACAAGTGATTACAGGGGATTCTATGAGGCTCTGAAAACAGCCTACGGTCCTACACACCAGGTTCAAAGCCCTCTACTCAGTGCAGATGGCCAAACGCTTCTCACTGATAAAGTTTCCACTTTGAATCGATGGTCTGAGCACTTCCAGACTCTTCAGTACCAGCCGTGTAGTTCAGGACTCAGCAACGCAGTACATTTCACAACAACCAGTGAAAACAGAACTGGACACTGCCCCCACCATGGGAGAAACTCTTAAAGCAATACAGCAGGTGAAAATTGGCAAGGCAGCTGGGGTTGATGGAATCCCACCTGAAATCTGGAAGCACGGTGGCCAAGCACTCCATGCTAAGTTTCATGAATTTGTGGTGTGCTGCTGGGAACGAGGTGAACTGCCTTCAGACCTTTGTGACGCTCTCATCGTCACCTTGTACAAGAGGAAAGGAGATAAATCAGACTGCTCAAATTACCGAGGTATTACTCTGCTCTCCATTGCGGGTAAAATCCTTGCAAGAATTCTTTTGAACAGATTAATACCCACCATAGCAGAAGATCTTCTACCTGAGAGCCAATGTGGTTTCCAAGCCAACAGAGGTACCACAGACATGGTATTTGTTCTCAGACAACTTCAAGAGAAGTGTCAGGAACAGAACAAAGGACTCTATGTTACCTTTGTTGATCTCACCAAGGCTTTCGATACTGTGAGCAGAAAAGGTCTGTGGCAGATTTTGGAACGTTTAGGATGTCCTCCCAAGTTCCTCAAAATTATCATCTTGCTTCATGAGGACCAGCGCGGTCAAGTCAGATACGGTGATGCACTTTCTGAGCCATTTCCAATAGCTAATGGTGTGAAGCAAGGCTGCGTTCTCGCACCAACTTTATTCACAGTCTTATTCAGCATGATGCTCCAAAGGGCCACAGCAGACCTCGATGATGAAAACGGTGTCTACATTCGATATCGTACCGATGGGAGCCTTTTCAACCTAAGGCGACTGAAGGCCCACACTAAGACCTTAAATCATCTTGTCCGTGAGCTGCTTTACGCTGATGATGCCGCCCTCGTCGCCCACACAGAAGTAGCTCTGCAGCGTTTAACATCCTGCTTTGCAGAGGCTGCTGAGCTTTTTGGGCTGGAAGTCAGCTTGAAGAAGACAGAAGTTTTATATCAGCCTGCACCTCAGGAAGTCTCCCATCATCCCCATATCACCATTGGGGAAACGGAGCTCAAATCAGTCCAGCAGTTTGACTGCCTGGGAAGCATCATCTCCTCGGACGGTAAGATTGATGCCGAAATAGACAACAGGTTAGCAAAGGCAAACAGAGCTTTTGGTAAACTCCGTAAAAGAGTGTGGCAAAACAAACACCTGAAGAAAAGTACTAAGATCGGTGTTTACAGAGCCGTTTTACTGTTTACTCTTTTATATGGAGCTGAATCATGGGTAATTTACCGGCACCACTTGCGTCTCTTAGAACGCTTCCATCAGCACTGCCTCCGTACCATTCTTAACATCCACTGGACTGACTATGTGACCAACTGTTGTGGTTTTGCTCTGGGTCAATTTTGCCTTCCACCCCCCACATAATTACCACTAGTTGAGAGTAAGTTTTTGCAGACAAGAGAGAGACAGGATTTGGGGTAAAATAGTATATACATTTATTACTAGTAAAACAAAAATTACTAATAAGTTAAAAACTAAAGAACTATATTTACAGCAATTTCTACTCAAGTTGAAGTGTTATATATTTATAGAAATACTTCTTCCCTTTTTTACTAGTCCAAGGAGAAGAAGTAGTCTCATTCTGTATCTTTGGAGTTCCAGTTCTCTCCCTCTAGCAACAGATCCTCAGCAGCAGCAGCACTTTCATTGCAGTTGGAACTTCTCTTTCCCTCTTGCTCTGTGTTGGCTTCCAGGGCTGGGCTTAGCCCCCTCCTGGGCTAAGACCGAAGGCTGGGGGTTACCCAGGTTCTGAAGGGTCTTCCTTCCATAGGCTTGCAAGGGGACACTTGCTTACTATGGATCTTCTTCCACAGGGTTACAGGGGATAATGGCTTAAGAGTCCACCCCTGTTTCCTTATGGAGGTCCCTCCCCATGGGAGAACAGTCCTTGATAGACTTCTCGACATGGGTCTAGCACGAATCCACACACGCACGGATTCCAGCATCTCACATGGGCCGTCTCGCTCCAGCATGAGATTTCCTCAGGGTTACAAAATCTTCAACAGCAGTATAGATCCACAGACGCACGGATCTCAGTATCTCACCTGAGTCGTCACTGCTCTAGTACAGGTTTCCCTCGGGGTCACAAATCTTCACCAGGACTCTGCCTCACTTCAGTCCTTTTCATGAAGTCTCGGTTCTCTTTAGTACATCCACAGACTTTTCTATTAGCTGCATAGGGGGTCTCCTTACTCCGACAAACTTTTACAAGTAGCAGGGATTACTTTTCAGTCTTTTCCCTGCTGAGGAGAGAGAGAGAGCGAAAAGGCAGGGGGGAAACAAGCCCCCTCCCCCTTTCGCACTTTACTTTTCTCGCTGCAGCTTCGGCTGCCAGCTTTGACCTTGGAAGCTCCGTTATCTTTCGGCTGGAATTCTTCCACAGCGGTTTCTGTCCAAGCAGTTCGTCTCTTAAACTTTTTTTTTCTTCACTCTCTTACTAGAGAGAAGGGAGGACTTCAGTGCTGCACCTGCTCCCCCCACCCCGGCCCAAGCCAGGGGAGGAGGGAGTCTGGCCCTGCTCGGGCCCGCTACTCCTCTTCCCTACATGGCTGCTGCTATTAATTCCAACTGCACCAACAACCTTCTCTTCCGTTTTCTTGAAGATGTAATTAGCAAAAGCGTCACTGGACTTTTGATTGGCCTTTTTGTCCAGAAATTACCTGGACAAAACCATCCTCAGCCCCAAGGATAGGCTGATGGGCAAAACCACAACACCAACACGTCTGCCCTTGAACAGGCAGCAGTCACGAGCATTGAGGCCATGCTGCTGAGAACACAGCTGTATTGGGCAGGGCACGTCTCCAGGATGCAGGACCATCGCCTCCCTAAGATCGTGCTCTATGGGGAACTTGCCACTGGCTGCTGCAAGAGAGGAGGCCTGAAGAGGAGATACAAGGACTGCCTGAAACAATCCCTCAGCCTTGGCCATATTGATCACCACCATTGGTCTACCCTGGCCTCCAATCGGGAGGCCTGGAGACCATCTATAGACCATCTGTAACGTTGCTGCTGCTTTTGAGAACACACGCAGGATCACTCTCAAAGAGAAAAGACAACGCAGAAAGAATCACATCTCGTCGATATCACCTGGGGAGTCTTTCTGCTGCACCTTCTGTAACTGGACTTGTCTATCTCGCATTGGCCTTTTTAGCCATCAGCGCGCTTGTAGCAAGCGTGGGTAGAGCCCTTCTCAAATCTTCGTTTGCGAAGCTTAGCCATGATGAAGTATCAAGACTGAAAACTAGCTTGCTCTTATATTTTGTATAACAGTATTAGCTACATAGTTCAGAAGATTATCTACCAATGCACATTAATATAATTATATTCTGCTTCTTTGGAGTTTTTCTCTCAGATAAAACATTTCCAGTAGGAAACCTGGAGTTTGGGCCTCCCAAGTCTGTACTTTGAGGTCTGCTTACAGAAAAAAATATTAAATTACATGCCATTTCAAGCCATTTCCAGATTTATAGAAAGTACAACCCTTAGAGATTATAAACACCAGAAGAAATTGTATTATACCCTGAAGTTTTAATATTGAACCACAGGATGCAGCCCTAAGAATAGCAAACTGTTTTTTTAATTAGTTTCTTCATCTGTGTGAAAAAAAAACTGCAGTCCCTATGATCCATAATAGTTACTGTACAATCTCTGCACTAGTTCCCAAGTTAACTTGCTGGTATTTAACTGATACACAAGTGCTTAAAGGGAACCCAATTACAGAGCACTGTCAAAAGTGAACAAAACATAGGAGGTGCTATGTATGTATATTTTTCAGAAGCAAAAACATTATTCCAGTGCTATCATCCCTTTTCAATACCATTGCTCTACATTCTCTGTGTAAAAGACCATTTGTGTGTTACTGATTTAATTCAGTCAGATCTTACACTAGACTGAAAAGAACCACATAGAGATGTTTAGTCAAAATGGAGAAACCAGTATATAAGAAGTCATCTTTAACACCTAAACAAAAAAATAACTCCTACGGCAGGCATTGCCTACGAAAGTATGATACGGTTATTGTTTTAAAAAATCAGTAATAACTTTACCATTCAGCAGGTTTAAAAATAATTATGATGCACTGGTTCTCTGAGGTGTTACCCAGTCATCTCCTTTTGCCAGGCTAGCCATGGAGCATTACTTATTTGTGAAATTAAGGAACTTCTGTGATCCATATTTACAAAGCCTTAACAAAAATAACAAAAGTCTTACCACCAACATCTATGAAGTGCTTTGCAGCTAAACCAGAACGTGGTGCTAGAAAAGAAGAAATTCTTTTTAAGTGTAATAATTTATCTTTTCAAAGAGTATTTACAGGTTATATAGAGTGTTTGCATAGTTATGGCAACAAGAATTGCTTCCACAGTCTAAAACAAACATGATTTTACAGGAGTTACTGTTAGAGTGTATATATATATATATATATAAAACAAAATAACAGCTGCTACAGGCTACAATAAAATTGCAATTTTAAGTGATATAAGCATATCTTTGTTTAGACCAACAATTGCAGAGTAGGTTTCTCCAAGGAAGGCAACAGGAACAGACAAAGACTGTCCAATCTTGGTTTATTTTTGGTGACTACCACTGGTTTGGCATAATCTCAAGAGACTATGAGGCCAATCCATTTAAGCTATGATGGAAAACAATATTTGGCAAGCAATTTACTAAGCAGTATTTTACACAGATGAATTATGTGCAGGGGTTAGGGGTTTTATTTCCCTTAGCCTACTTTGATGACACTTTAAAATTTTCAGTGGGATAAGAGAAAGGCACACATGTATTCCTTTCAAATAAAAGGACATGGCAAACTCTGATCATGCTCTTCCACTGGAGTGTCTATTGCTTTTTTTACTTGATGAATTCACACATAATTCATAAAAGGAATGCACAAAATAAATAGAATATCTCCTCAGGTTCTCTCAAGTATTTTGTCACAAAAAGAAGTCAAATTCTGCTTCACTAGTATTCTTACTTTGGGGTTAATTTTTAAACATCGAGGGATGTATTTGCTGTATGTTCATTATCTATTGGTCTTTGTGATTCAAATTCTGAAGAAATAATGATCTATTGCAGAGCCTCTGAAGTTGTATGTAGATTACGACCTTTTTTGCTAATCATCTTTCTGTTACCTGCCATACACCAAACTTCAAATGTGTTTGACAAGAAATGTCTGTTACAAGGCTTAATAAATCACAGCCACGTGGCAGCTCTTTTTTTGTGTAGACTAATTCTGAAAGCTGAAGATGGTGTCAAACCTGTCTTAGAATGACTCTGCAGCCTTTTTATAGCTTCTTTACTTACCTACTCGGCCATAGCACCCAGGAGGAAGTGCTATTTGAATGTCTGTTTTCACTACAGCCTTTTCCATGGGTGGTATCACACAATCATAGGCACTACATTAAAGAAAGAAAGACTCGTTTATAGAGAATATTTTTTAATTTTTCTTCTCTGTAATTTAAGGTAAGAAATTACCAGAATTATTCCAGTTGGGAATATATAAAGTGGAATTTACACAGAAATATTTACAGATTCCTGAACATAGTGAAAACCATTGAACAATGTTATAAATTCACCAAAACCGAAGTCTGTATATTGACTCACATGGTTTCCAGCTAAGAGCATTATCAAACTGGCACCACTTCCTTGGCCGCACCCAGCAGCCAAGACGGAAGCAGAAAAGCACAAGCGCTGGCAAGGAGGGCCCGCGTGCACTACCACTTTTTTTGTTTCAATAATGAGGCTCCTGGCCAATGCCGACACCAACAGCAATTCTTGATGATGTGTCCAGATTGGCTTTTGGCCAAGGACTACATCGCTCTGATGCAGTGATGGAGCACGGCTGGACCACAGACACCTTGGAATGAAGGGCCAGGGATGGAGGAGTAAGGGAGATAACGACCAGGGCAGCTCTGACCTCCTCTCCTGCAGGGCCGGCGAGCCCCCCGAGGGCTCCGCTCAGCAAGAGGCCACTGTGACCCTCTCAGCCGCCGGAGCCCCGCGCCCAGGGCTCGCCCACTGGGGCAGCATCACGATCGCCCGGGTGCGGTACCCTGAGACCGCCACTCCCGCATGCGGCACCCTCACCCTCACCCTCACCTGTACAGATCGTAGCCCGCAGCCCGCGCGGAGCCCCTGGAGGGGGTGAAGGCATTCTCGGACAGCTTGGTGAAGCGGAGCCGTGTGCTGTGCTCGCCGGGCCCCGAGCCCTTCTGCCTCTTGCTGGGGGACGGCTGCAGCACGGCCTCGGAGGCGGGCATGGCTGGGGGACGGGGAGACGCCGTGAGGGGACTGACAGAGCCCGCCAAAACGCGGCTCGGCCCACTGCGGGCGGGGACAGGGGGGAGAACCGGCCCTTCCGCGGCTGTTCCGCGCGCGGCTCACCCCCGTCATACCCCCACCTCCCCTCGCTGTGAAAATGGCCTCGTCCAGCTCCTCCCGTGCGCCCCGAGCCCGCGCGGAGGGTCCCGCCTTGGGTCTGCCAGCCCGGCCCGCAGCGGGCGCGCAGCGGGCGCTCCCCCCGCCTCCCCAGGGCCGCGCAGCGGGTGCTCCCCGCAATCCCCGCCAGGCTCGGGCAGCGTGTGCTCCCCGCAATCCCCGCCAGGCTCGGGCAGCGTGTGCTCCCCCCCCGCCCCCCTTACAGCGCCCGCGGGGCTGCAGGAGCCGCCGGAGGAGCCGGCCCAGCATCGCGCCGCTGCCGTGTATGGAGCGCCGCCCGCCAGCCCGGCGCTGCCCGCCGCGGCCCGCATCCCCCGTGGGGCGCGGGCGGAGGCAGCGGCGCCCCGTTCTCCTCTCGGCCGGGCCGTACCTGCCAGCGCAGCCCCTCTGGCGGCGGCCCGGCCCGCGGCGTGGGGCGGCAGCGGCGCTGGCGGTGCCGCTGGGCGGGCCGGCGGACCCCGCGGCGCGGGCGGTGTTGCCGGGGGGACGCGATGGCGGCTGCACGGACGGGCGGGGCTGGAAGGGATATTTGGAGATCCTCCAGTTTAATCCTGCCCCTAAAGCAGATTCAGTCAGGGCGGGATGCACAGGACAGAGGGAGGAGGAGACTCCTCCGTCAGGAATGGTCAGCGCCAGGACAGAAGCGTTTGCCTTATGAAAGGGAAACAACCCTTGTGAATGCTGGAGATAGGAAAACCTATCAATGCTCGGCCCGTCCTGTTGGTCTGTTTTTGTTCTTCTGTCATTGAAAAACACCAGTGATTTCACTGTCTTTGATTTTTATACTCACTGCCTTCCTTTGCCATCCCATCTATGATGTACTTTCCCCCTCTATTTTTCCTGTCTTTATCTTTGTATCTATATCTATCTATCTCTATAGGATATATATATTATATAGGACTAGGGAAGTCCTTCATTCCCCCATAGCTCTGTGTGATGTGGGCTGACAGGACTCTTATCCATTGGATTCATAGTTTCAAACCTGTCCTTGACAAGTCTGGTGGAGGTATTTGTCTCTCTGCAAAATAGCTGCAGAGTGTTGGAGTTCTCTTTGCACAAATCACTTATATTTGTGATTTTTTTAGATTTTTTTTTTTTTTTTGAGATCTAAATGTACATGATTATCTCCTTGCTATGGTACATTTTTTAAGTGCAGCCAGATGGCAGTGAAACCTTTGCTACGCAGTTCAGTTACAAGAAATATTTTGAAGCATGTCCTAGTTTGGGCTTCCGTTTATTTATGCTCAATATTTTCGGTCTAAATAGTATGAGGTGTTTGAGAGAGAATGCATATGTATCACAGATCTCTGTGAAAACACTGCTTAAAATATCTTATGGCTTCTGATGTAAGCCATCCACACACTGAAATTTATAAGAATTGAGTTGTATTGAATAATTTTTTTTTTTTTTTTTACAAGGAAAACTTTATAGAGGTTTCAACTGCACTGTAGTGTAGAAAAGCACTAATTTTATGAATGGCCAGGCTCAGTGAGGCAGGCTGGGTTCTAAATTGTACTTAAGGTAGCTTGGAAGTCCATGAGTAATAGATAGGAAGACTCATCCAAAAATATTATTAAGAAGAAAGGTCTCAGCTGAGTGACACTTTTCCCCCCCTGAGATCTTTACAAGAAAAAAAAAAAAACAAACTGAAAAAAACAGTGCGTGAAGTCTGGGCAAGTTTGCTTTGGTCCTGGGAGTGTATTGCTTGCTCTGTAAATAGTTGGCCAACCTTCCTGCATTCTTGGTTGCTGATTAGTCCTGCTCTGCATTTGGCATTTCTTCCTGACTTTGGAAGACAATACTGAAATAAACTGGAATTATTTGCCTTTTTATCTCGATTGAGAGCAGGAGTGGAGGCTGCTTTGTTGTCCACAGAAAGAAACACAGAGCTTCTTTCACAGTTAATAATAAAAAAAATTCTCTCCAATGAAGTTTTGGTGTTAAAATGACCATTTTTATTAGGAGAAAACTACGGCTTTAAGCGAGATATTTCCCAGCCCAGTCTCACTTAGAACAGCTGTGTCTCTCACAGTGATTAAGGTTTGTAATTTAAAGGATTGTTATGATGAGTGTGTTTATAATGAAGCTCTATTTTTGACTGCGTGTTTTGCTGTACAGTGTGGGGGCTGTGGAATTCTGCCATTGCTTTTTACCCTATTCCAGACAACCTTGGTGTTTTATTTTGTTTGAAACTGAATTTCCTCTGATGAAATTCCAGCAGTGGCATGACTGTGGGCTGTTGCTCTTGTTATCTGTGGAGAATGGGAACTACGACTCCCTGTATCTGTTTGTTGTTTCCATTTTTCCTTGCAGAGCCAAGGCCAGTGTGAGGTGTTCCCTCAGCAGCGCTGGCCACACAGTCTTGATGGGTCACACAGCTGCCAAAGGGCCATGTCAGCGAGGTACCAGCATCGACTCGTGTCTAAAACAGTGGCCTGATGTCTGCCGAGGCACACTGTGACAAAACCTTGCCTTCCCTCATCTGTAGCTCATTTAGCAAAGAGCTGCAGCACTTCAAGGGTTCACTGACCTGCCAGAAGTTGCAAAGAGGTAGCAAGGGAGAGAGAACACGATCTTGGAGTGATCCACACTCACTTGGCTGAAGTCCAGTGGCAGCCAAACAACCAGAGGCAGAAGGCTGAGGGAGACCCCTGAACTTCAAGCTGAAAAGGCTGAGGGTCACTCAAATTCTGTTCTCCCAGCTTTGCTGATAAGTCAGGGACCTCTGCCTGAGGGGAGGTGACAAACAGGTGAGAGGAGTTAAATCAGTCAATTATAGCTAAAACTCTGCAGCTGTTTGCCCCCTGTCTACAACTTCAGTGCTAATTCATGTTACCTGTTGACACATCTCTTGCTTGTAAACTGCTGATCAGTTGCTGAAACTGCTTTCATGGTAAGGAACTTGAAATATCACACGGAATCACAGAAGAAGAGGGAAAATATGATGAATGTCCAGGTTTTCTGAGAATTAAGGACAACCTGTTATATTTTGCCTATCCAGGAAGGCTTTTGGTAGGACTTTTCAAAGATGTAATGAAAATTGCAGAGGTTTAAGAATGGTGAAAATTACTGTGGATGTGGCTGAAGCTTTGTACCTCGTGGCTGTGATGATTAAGTGGGAACTCCTTTGAGGTGTGAAGTGTGATAGCAGCATGTTCTTTGCATTGTGCCTTGCAGAGCTGCAGTTTATCTTCACAGTGCAGTGCCTTTTTGGTTAGAAAACTTTTCTGCTTGTACTGCTGGGTAGCTGAGTTAAAATTAAATAAACAAACACCCCAACAGAAGTAATCTCTGTTGGGGACTGAAAAATCTAGTGAAAGGCACGTTGGAAGAATGATTTTCTGGACAGCATAATCTGGACTATGCTCTGGGGGTTATGTGATCAAGCTGGACAGCTTACCAGTGGTTGTAAAAAGATTTAAGGGAAGCATAGTCTCTGAACTGTGATGAAATGCCTTCTGTGATACCTGTCAGAGCTCCCCTAACATTAGGAGGGAAAGGTGAGATTCACTGATGAGAGGAGCGATAGTGGATCATTTTAACAGGCCCTTAGGCACAAGCTTAGCTGTGTAGGATGTCTGGGCTTTTAAAGAAAATTCAAAATACTCTTTGTTCTTGCTTCATAGCAACAGTATTTTCACACTTTAATGTCCCTGGTCACCTTATCTATGCTTGCTTTTGTTGTGGCTGATCAAACCAACCCTAAATTATATAAACCTACTGAGTTGGTAGTGTCATGATATAAGCTCAAAATGTACTAGAGAGCATTAGAACTGTATTTTTTCTAAAGGTGTCAAATGTGTAATTAGAATTTAGTTACTAACATGATGATTAAAATTCAGCAGTTGTTTTATGCATAATTTATATAGAAGTGTTGGTTACAGAGTGAGAAATGAGGTAGGTGGACTAACAAAATTTGGCAATCAAAGTTGCAATTTAAGATAGTCCATAATTAGTGTGCTCTCCAAATTGGTCATGCACACACTTCAGGAATCATAGTGAGGAACAAGAAATGCTGCTGTGTTTAAATTACTTGTGAATTTGTGGAAATAATACTTTTGGTTAGTTAAGAACTGTTGCATTCACAGTTTGTGCTGCTCATTATAAATCCCATAACACTGTTGTGTGGATACATCTTCTAATTAATCACTGTAGTCCAAGCAAGGACTTTTACAGAAATGTTTATGTTAGTACTTAGTTTTTGATGACTGTTCACTTAGCAAAGTATCTCTAGGGATTTATTTTTGCAATGCCCACAGCATTGTGTTCATGAGAGAGAAGTGTGAATAGCATTGAAAGTGCCGTTGCTGGTTAATTTTGTGCTCATTCTCTTCATGGGTCTGCTTAGGTCCCCCAAAACACTTTGGGTCAATAGATTGAGAATGACAGTACTTGGGAATACTTAGGAAACAATCTGCTCTCATGTACATAATTAAATGGCTTATTAGAGGTGTGTGTGGTTCCTCCGGGTCCTTTCTCAGATTGTGGTAAGAAACACACTTACAGAAGGCCCAAGTGGAGCCTCCCTGCATTGCCTGCGTGCCACATGCAGATTATACCTGTGTGGTGTCTGAAGTGAGATGGAAAGGATGGTGACCATTGCAATTCTACAAAGCTGGAAGGACCTGAGAGCAAGCTCCAGTATCTCTGCCAACATCACTGCGAGGGATGAGAATGATCATCTCCTTGTTTTGCAGGTGCAGAATGAGAGCTTTGGTTTGCTCAGAACTGTGCAGGAAGTCTGGTATATGGAGGAAACTCATATATCTGTGTAATGCACTTAAACTGCAAAATGATCCTTCAACCTGGTTGTTTATGTGTAAGAAGGAGTGAAGGAAGAACATTATGAGAAAATATCAGTATTTCATATCCTGCCTTTAATAGATGGAGAAAATAAAGCATGGGTTACTGGGCTGCATTACCATGTTCTGCTGAATTGCTGCTGTTGAACTCAGAAAAATATGAATATCAAATATTTGTCATTTTTGTAGATATACTGCTAGATCCTCCCCAAGTTAAATTCTAATAATTCAAGCAAGATGGAAGCTGAGGCTGCTTTAAAATATACATTTAGTGAAATTCAGTGTTCCCTGGCTTTCATGAGGTTTAGATGTCAGTTGATCTCTGTCAGGGAGCTGCAGAACTACAGAAAATAAATTAGCCATGTTCCTTGATGGGCTTTAATTTAAATAATGCTTACACATAGGTTATGGCTTTCCCCATTAAAAAGAGAAGCTGCTTTTCTTGACAGCCGAAATTATAAAGTTCCAGAATGTGGCAGAATAGGAAATAGAAAAATTACACAACTTAATGGATTTCCTTTATTTTAAGTTAGTGTACAATGAATGTTATTTAGAAAGTCAAAAAATAAGATAGATCTTTTATATAAATCAAAAAATAAGGCATTCAACTCAGTTAATGAGTTTTTGTTATTTTCTAATCACATAAATCACTGTACATATTATCCCAAAGTATAATGTCAGATTGTATTAACCCTAATATTCCTAGCAAAAATTGTTTGAATATTTATTATTTTACTAATTTTTTTGTGAAATATACGTACCACATTTGATTATTGCAATCATACATTGTATTCCATGTCAAAGCTTGAAAATTCAATATCAAGTCTTGTCATGTAGAGTCCATATTCTTATAAAGGTGAGGTTTTTGTTTGTCAGTTAATTAGAAGTGTTACAGTTAATACAAATTAGCAGAACAAATTAAGTAAAAGCATCTACTGTAGAAATAGGTCTTAATTTGGCAATATTACAATCAAACAGCATTGCAAGTATTCCACTTGCATTCTGTTAGTTTATGGCTTTGACCTGATGGATGCCATACAGGTTTTATTCTCTCTCACAGGTTGGTGTATTTCATTTTAATCCTACTTTGTGTCTATTAGCAACTATGATAGTGCAATTTGAAAGAAGTATTTACTTGTAGATTTAATGAAATTTATATTGTAGCAGTTAATTTTGGCTTTCTAGGATTAATATCAAATAATTTTCAATACTCTATAAAATCAGAGGAATTTCTTCTTTGTGCATTCAAATATTTTCTGACTTATATAATATATAGGTAGATTTTCCTTCTTTTGCCTGTACTGGAGTGTAACACCAGCAGGGACCATTTACATTTTTTTTTTGTCTAATTCTTTGCTGTGTTGCTTTGGATTTTTTTAAAAAAATTTCTGTTAATTATTTAACTTTTAGATTTGTTTTAGGTAAGTATGTCTTTAATAAATCACTGCCATTACAAACATGGATGTTGAGATCAAGCAAGGCATATTCTAGGCACCGAGGTTTTCCTAAGAATAGAAAGTCAGTACATTTTTGTGGTTGCCTCTGACCATTAGGACTGGAGGAAGGTTCTTGGAGAGAATTTCTAGCCAAGCCAAATACAGGTAATCAGACACTGCTCCTTTTCTTGCCACAGGGAGGCTCCTGTTTAGGCAGAGGGAAAAATAAAATTAGCATTGTGAAGGCAGGGGTAGCTCAGGTAATGTGCTTCTCACTCAAGATTAGGTAGAAAACTGTTCCTATACAACTCTGATATAACAAACCCATGTGATTGTTTTAATATCATCAAGCACAAAACTACCATTAGTCCTTAATTTGGAAACTCTTACATGGTCGTACTGGACATGAACTGCTTGTGATTGTAACCTTTAACTGGTAAAGAATATTTTCAGGGTCATAAAGCCCACACATAATATGATTTTATTTTTTTTAAAGGATAAAAAATACAGTGCATGGACAGTTTTGCAGTCCATCAGCCTGTTTTCCGATCTGTAATTACCGTGAGATGGGAGTTTTAAAGTGGGGGTCAATTTATGGTAACATTGTGTGATCACCCCCTTTCTGGAGACTGAATTAATAGAGCTGAAGAGCTTTATCTGCACATCACAAGTGCAAGCTAATTTATTGAAGCTGTGTACAGAAAATGTGGCTCTAACTAAAAATCCATTCTGAAAATGGCTTGCTTTTTGGGTAATTTTATTGGTGGCCCTCTTTACCTTTATATAATTGCATCATCCTAACTCAAGTTTCAAGTAGATCTTGGCTAACAACTCCATTTCTTACATGCAAACCTCCTTTTTCTAACTTTGAATTTGTAATAGTTGGGAGAAAAGAAGGGAAAATACGTGTTTTCTGCAGTCAGGCAAGCAGATGTAACACTCAATGTGCAGATTGGATGTGAAGATTACATTTTTGACAGGTTTTTCATGAGTAGAGATTTCTTTTAAGCTACCAGGAAAGATTCATATTCAGTGCAGTCTCAGAGAATTATCAGTCCAGATGCAAGTCCTTCAGAAGGTACTCAAGGGATTGGTTTTGTGCGCAGTGAAATAACCCAAGGGTTTCTGTTGCTCCAGTCCAGAATCCCTGTACACATTATTCTCAAAGTTAGAACCAAAATGTTGGCACTCACAGGACAATGATGTTGGCTGCTCTGGAATGCTCTTGTAGGAGTTCGTTCAGACGGACCTGGCGGTAACTCTGATTAAAACAAGGGAAAAGAAAAAGGTCAGTTCAGTCAGTGATCCTCAGTTTTGGTGCCTCATGGACTTCTACGCTGCCCCTTGCAGTAACATTTTCTGCTGTTGCTTTGGCAACATTGGACTCTGTGGTCTGCTCTGTGGTCCAGAGTCATGGGGATGGCAAAACACGAGGCCAAGCCGTGCTTCTTGATCACTATAGTTATGTTGGGGCCAGAGTTGTTCACCCCTGTGTAAGGTTTCTTGGGGATGGGGGTTATTTTCCTACTGACACAGTGCATAGATTATTATTACTTTGAGATTAAGCCTTTATCAGGCCAAGCTCAGGCCGTCAAAGATTTTATAACTTAACACAAGTCATAGGGAACAAGAGACCAGAGCAGGTTTGTGTAAGATAGATGTATCTTAACTGGTCTTGTAAATTACTTTCTCTTTCCCTGGAGAAAGTAAAAAGCTGTTTTTTCTCTGTTCACACCTTAACATTTCTTCCTCTACAGAAATTTTTACTGTTCTTTTACATGTTATATAGGTAAGAATCCTCGTAATTTAGCCAGTTGTTATCTCATGAGAGTCATCCTAGAATATCACCCTTTATCTGTGCTGCCAGGTTTTTCTCTATTGAATTTTAAATGTGTTCTAATGTCCTCTGTGAAATTTCCAGAACTGCCTTACTTTTGAAGATAAGGGGCAGGCCTTTCCAGGTGTGTAAGCTAAAATTTTTGTTGCTGTTCTTGTTTTATAGAGCAACTTGTCATTTTTATGTTGCTGACTTTTCAGCCTAGGGGGTATTTCTCTGGTTCTGTAGTTAGTGACCAAGCCTAATTAGGTATTTTCTTTCTCTTGTATGCTCACTGGTTCTGCACACAAGTGTGCAGAATATTTGTGATTATATTCCCATTGTCTTTTATACTGAGATGTTTTAAGGGCTCTGACTCTTAATTTTTGATGGTTGAAGCTGAGAGTAATTCAAAGGTTTTCTGCCCACAGCTGAGTCCCATAACCTTGTGCTGGTTATCAGCTCCATGGAAAGGCTAACACGGTGAGCAGTCAGGCTGCTTCCCAGCTGCTGCAGTTGGTAGTGTAGTGTGTTATCTTAAATCACCATTGATTTCTGCTTATGTTAATATGTCAGGCTGTGACTTCTAGCAGCTCTGAGCTCAGAGTCACAATCCTTGCTCTACTGAGGAAGTTACCAGCATCATAAAGTGGAGATAACTAAGCTCAGAGTGCACTCAGGTTAATCCAACAGGAACCATAAATAAAATTGCTAGATTAATTCTCTGTGAGTTACACTCTTACGAGTGAGAGAGTTTGCAGTATGCTTTTGGTACTGGCCTGATGAAGCCTGGCAGTTCATTGCTAAAAAGGTATTTTCCAGCAAAGTTAAAGAGCAGCCTGGACTCTGATTCACCCAGTGGATCAGCCAACATCAACCTTAAGTGCCTCTGAACTGCGCTGCAGACAGGTTTAGTCTGCACACTGCCACTGAGGAAAGAATCCATGTTAAATCTTGCCTTTGGAGAAATTGCTAGAGTTAGTTGTGGCATCTGGATTCAGTCCTGAATTTCCCAAAGTGGTGAATGTTTGGAACTGCAGTCTTTAAGAAGTTCAAACTCTAAAACAGTGGAGCCATTTAATAAAGCTCTCAGCAGATCCGATTAGCTCAGGCTCAGTGCAGCACTGTGTGGCTTCTCATTCAGAGGGGGTTTTCATCTGGCTGGCTCTGATGTGGGCAGAGCTTCTCATCAGCCTGGAAAATACTGTGTAAACCTGCCAAGGTCTTAGAGTGCTGAATAATGCAATCATAACACACCTCTGCAGTGTTTACAATATAAATCCAATTTGTAAATATCAAGTACAGGTTTGTACATGTCATGTTTCTCATTCCATATCTGGTATTTCACATTTTCTTTCTAATTGCTTCAAACATCTGGAGTGTAAGAAAAGGTACATATGTAAAGAGGTAGGCAAGGCTTTACCTTCTCCTTGAATGCTTCCAGCTCTGCGTCTGTAATTTTCCATGGAGTCTCTCGCTTTAATTTCTCAGCAGTTGTTATATCTTTGCAGCTTTCATGGAGACGATATGGTTCAATCATCTCTTCAAAGAATTTCCAGCTGAAACAGGAATTACAAAGGAGGCCTTTGCTGCAGGGTATGAACTCACTAACGTATTTCACAGTCACTGTGTATGACAGGCCTCGCTGATAATAATTGCAGCTGAAAAACGTGCAAAGTCTTTAACTGTTCTTTGCTACATTGTGCCCCAAGTTATATCTGTGCCACTTCAGGATGTTTGGGTTATTTGAGGATAATTAAAAGGTTATTTGAGGATAATTAACACTGCATTTGACAGAGAATTTTCTGCATTTTCCTGGTTCTGACAAAAATGAGCTCTACAGTAACTCCAAACTGGTTACTAATTACTAATTATTTGTTACTAATATTAACAATGAATATGGGTGTCATAGTAAATATAAGGTTTTCTTATTGTTTTATCTCTAGCAAGACCAATCACTGGACTGATGCAGTTGTACTGATCATTTTAATGAAATGGATAAACAGGTGATATAAATTTCCTATGGGGAGGGGATGAAAGACATGCTGTAGGGTTTTTGCCACATGGGGGCTCAGATTTGTGTTCATTTCCCAACTTCCCGACTTCTCCACAGACTTTCTCTGTGAATTTCATTGTTTTTCTTGAAGCTTTTGACTGTCATCATCTGGAGAAACCTCCTTGCTTGCTGCACTGTTGAAAGTTTTTTATTGTCCCACAGAGACCTGAGGGAGTTTCTCTTGTGTCAGTGTGAGTGGATTTCTCTGAGTGCCTTTTGCTGACAGACCTCACTGGGAAGTGAAACAAGAGACTGGGCACAGGCTGGACTTAATGGCCAGGGTGTCATGAGGTGGGTTAAAGGCTGTGATGTGCAGCATTTAGTGTGGCTGTTGCTAAGTTGTCAGAGTTTGTCAACACCCTTACTCTATTTCAGTATGTAAAATAGTGATAATCCTCTTATTATCAATGAAATAAGTGGGATGCCAGCTGGAAGAGAGGTACAGTGGCCTAGAAAGTGTCTGGTGAGCACGTTTTCAGTGGATCTTTAAGATCAAGAGCAATACTGTGAATGGAGTTTAGGATGCAGTTATTCCATGAGCAACCTGCTACAGACTTTTGTCTACATGAGCAGAATAAATAGGTGATTTCTATGGAAATAGGTTTTAGAAAGAAGGGACTTTTGAGATTTTATTTTTGTTTTTTAGCTGACACAGTTGGAGCTCCTTGAGCACTGTTTTACCAACTTCCTGACCTCTGCCTAAGATAAGTTAATTTTAAAAAAAAATTGAACCTTCATTATATTTGAGTGATAGGGAGTATTATAATGCTGTGCTCATGGGAAAGAGGAAATATGCTTATGTTTGGCCAGAAAAATGTTATGAATTCATTATAGAAGCCAGAAGGTTGAGTTGACATAGATGGTAAGTTTACAGAAGAACTATGACTGAAGTCTATTGCAAGCTAAATAGATATGAAAAACTATCATAAAATGCCTGTTAAATTTAGTGGCTCCTAAGTATGGTGTCTAATTAGTCTTTATTAAAATTTTTTATAATTACAACATAAAGAAAAAGGCTGCCTATGGTTTTGACCCTTTGAATGTTGATTGTTAAAAGGTTCTTTTCTTTTTCCTGTCTTGTTACTTAAAAAATTATTTCAATAAAGTGACAGTGTTGTTCTCTGTGGTGTGTTTTGGTTTTTTGTTTTTAATGCTTAACATAAACCAGCTCCAGATAAAGGCTGACTGCTAAATAATGGATTTTGTTAATGTTTCTTACCTCTCTTTGTTGGGCTTTATATTGATATCACAAATGATATTAATATCAGCAAATTTTATTCTGAATTTGCTTAGGAGTGAAGCCATCCTGAAAACAAAAGAGAGAATGTTTTATCACTGTACTTCTGAGTGCCTTGTATCAAAGAACACTCATAAATGAGTTAGACAACTGCATTTGATATCTTATCTTTAACGATATGACAAATTACTTTAAATGCTTTTAGTGTTTCAATTTCCAATTACAGAACTGGATTAATGTGATTGCTGTAGTATAATTCATTTAATTGATGGATGAAAATGACAAAAATGGAAATTAATAGCAGACAGAGGGCAGGGTGTTTACATTTTAGGAAAAAACCGGTACTTTAAGTATATCCTAAGGTTTGAGTTATAAAAGAAAAATATTCAAAATGCAGTAGGGCAGAATCCTCCAATACTTACAGAAGGCTTTCTGTTATTCTGTTATTATCAAAATTCCGTGCATGGAGTGTGTACAACACTGTAGTGTATATGTTGGCGAAAATCTGACCCAGAAAGCTGATGCACAATACTTAAAGAGACTTTTTCATTTATGAATTTATACTGATCTACTCACATGTTGGTTTTGCACATTTTCATAAAAGAAAATACTTTACTTTTCTGCCCTGGTTGGCAGAAGGAATAGTTTATAGCGTTGTGTGTGTTTGTGCTGAGGTTAGAGAGGTTTGCTTAGGTCAGTTTTGCCTTTGTTTGAAGCACAGTTGGGATCTTGTGGTTCTTCCCCACACCTTCTTTTTTTTTGTATGTAAGCTTTGGAATTTGAAAAGGTCAGAGAGTTCCTAGGAGAAAACCATGGTAGAAGTACATATTTGTTTATGACCTGAGAGTTTACTCAGTCTTTTTTATATATATATATAAGAAGAACATACTGCTTATATAAATCTCAATGTCCTTGGGGCAATCCTTGTTTTGAACAGGAAAAAGAGAAAAGTCTCAACTTCTATGGAGAGGTTTTAATATTTGGGGAATTATATGCTGGTAAAAGTCCAGTTAAATTTAACTTCTGAATTGGCTGAAATTGAACTTGACTGATGTTGTTTTTAACTGCTCTTTGTTGAGCAGTTGCTGATTTTCATCCCAAATTGAGCCGCTTCCACCAGTGGTGAAATGGTTGTGCCTTTAGTGTGTAAAGTGCTTTGGAAGGAAAGGTCCTGTATACACTGATGATAAAAAGAAGTTAATATTAGTACCTTTCATTTGCTTGAAGGCAAATGATGATTATGAAATCTGAACTTTTTTCAAAAAGCCGAGTAAAATCAACTTGGTCTTAAAGTTGATTAACTTGCTCTTTAACTTCTTTACTTTTTAGCATAGTTAATCACATATATGTGAGCTATCTGTATGTGGTATTGCATATGAGAGTTTCATGTGCAATTTCACTTGCTGTTAACTGAACAATCTCATGTAAATCCCATAAAAGTAATTATATTCTCATTATGAAGTGCAGACTGTTCTTCTTAGGGAAGGGAATATGAGCTATTAATGGGAAAAAGTGCTGGATGTGATTTTCCTTTGGTAATCACCATTTGCAGAGCCTTGAGGGCTATGCCATAAGCTCAACACCTTTCTGTCAAGTAGATCTTTGTTTTTTCCTGCTGCCCACAGGACAACAAACCGGTTGTGCTGGAAAATTCCCAGCTTCCTGCTGTGTGTGAATTATATTCAGCATCATTCAAACACTGAACAGTGAGATAAATAGAATTATATTTACACTAGTTTTTCTTCTTCAATCCTATTGACTTTTCCTCCAGTGAAGATCCTTAATTTACAATTTTTCCACTTCTTCCTGATAGTTAGAATGTAAGGAATTAGGATTGTTAGACCTGGAAGAACATACAAAATTACAGGAAGATCAAATTAGTTCATTGTGTGGTAAAAATTCCATCCTTCACTTCAGCAGCATTGGACAAAAGTTAATTTTAAAACAGTTAATCCAGACATATAATTGAATATGTGATCTTAAAACAGTTTAATGCAAAGTCCCAAGTCTGTTTTTATGTTTGGTAACACAGAAATCTCTCTCCCTGTGGTTCTTATCCAAATTCCTTACCTCCGTCATCGAACAGCCACCAAATGTCAATTGTTCCTTTTCCCTGCTTCTTTTTAAATTGAGTGCTGGCTTCTAGCAGCTTCTGATTGAATTCACCCACATGCATTGACTGCATGGTGTTAATGGTGCTCTCTGCAATGGGAAAGAAAAAAATGTGGAGGGATGTCTGACAAGCGAGGATATGAGTAGCTTTAGGGAGCCAAACAGAGGGAAAACTTCAGGGAAATGAACTGTTTGTGACATAATTTCTATCCTTTAAATCTAAAAAAACCCAATTACAGAGTGGATGCTATGGAGTTTTAACGTGCCAGCACTCACAGAAACCAAAGCTTGTGGGATTCATTGTCACTAGATTATAGCATCTTGAAAAGGGTTGTCTGATTATTTGTTCTCTGTCTCTTTTTACTTAATGTAAAATTCACTGGGGCCTTAAAAAGCAAGTGGGAAATATCTGATAGATTTTAGAAGTAAATGTGTCATTTTGCATCATTTACAAGCTCAGCTGTCTCGTAAAACACAGCTCTCCCTGGAAGGCACAGCCATGGTGGATGAAACGAGGATGCAGTGGGAGCACAGGTGAAGCTGAGGCTGGAAGGCAGGAAACACAGACATACATGGCTGCTTCCCTGGGCTGGGATGGTCCTTGTTAATTGAAAATAAATTCTGGTCCTTGCTGCTTGCTTGGTTGGCTTCAAAAGTTATAGTCTTGACTGTGCACTAACAACGTCTTCTCTCATTGCAGCTGTTGAAGCCCGTGGCTTTATTACTGCTCCTCTTTCAATCATTTCAAAGAGACGGTGTCAGAGCAGTATTTTAAATGGAGCACACAGGCTTCTTTAGGGTTTTACTCTGATCTGCTGGGTTCTGAAAGTGCTTTGTTTGGTTTTCCTGTATTTCTAGAGTGTGTACAGGATAGTTCTAAAGCAGTTCTAGCATCTCTGCTGGAAGATGCAAAAACTCAGGGGAGTATGAATGTAAAAGCAAAACAGAGAGGCAGGGATATTTATTATCATAATCTATCTCATGTAGAGATACAGAGTAGGCAATATGTATTTCCTTTATGCCCTTCTCAACTAAATCAAAAAGGGTAGTTGAAACAGAGGTGCACACTTTTGTTGGAACTGTTGTAAAAATATGTTTTACTGAAGCCTGCAAAATGAACTGAAGTCTGCCAACTTAAGAATAATGATATTTTATGTTTTCAGTCTGTAGATCTTCCTGATACCTGTGGGAGTTGAATGCACAGCGAGATGTAATAGTCTCTGCAGGTGAAAATTCTGAAAATACATGTCTGTGTACAGGCATGGCTTCAGGTGGGTCATTACCATTACAGCCTAGCAGTTGTGAAATAAGACCTTAAATTCTGGCTGTATTTCTCTATCATTTTACTATATCTGAAATGTAATTTTGATTTCATCACCTACACATTTAAGTTATGTGTTAATTAGTTATTTGACAGCATGCTGTGCATGTACTTTCAGAACTTTTACCACCTTATGCATTTTTATGACATTATGCCTAGAATATAGAGCAGTTGTGCTATTTTTACCTGGTTTTCAGCTCTGTACTGAGTTTGTGTGTGTGTGTTAAGTAAATTAAGATTGCTTGTTTCCTGAATACTGGGCATATGTTCCTGTTTTCTTTAAAGAGAAGGAAAAAAGGCCTCTGTTTAAAAACTGAAAACACCCTATTAAAAAACCAAAACAAACAACCAAAAAATCCCCAAAGCAATTTGTTCTGTATTCATCAAAGAACCATATTCTATTTTTGACAAATAGAATTGAACATCAGCTGACCTGAGAAGTTTATCTAGCAAATGAGGGGAGGAAATTGGTTGTGTTTTTGAGATAGTGTGTCCTACAAGCAGAGGATGTCACTCTGTGCTGCATTACAGGGCTGTACCCACCGTGACAGCTTTGCACAAGGGAGGTCCTTTTCCAGGAGCTTCTGTGTGGCTCAGGAGCTTTTGGCTTGGAGTAAAGTCCATTTTGTATATTGGTGAAAGCAGTATGTATTGAAGGGTCAGGAAGGAGCTGTCATTTTGGAACTTACCCTTTTTTGTTTCATGTTTTGAGATGTTGAGTGTGCTGGCTTTTTTGAAGAATCCACAGATACCTCTTTTTCCTTCTTCAAACTCATTTTCCTTAATGGTGGCTTCCAGTGCCAGTCTCTCCTGCTCCAGCTTCTCTAATTCCTCTGTATATTGGAAAGAGTAAGTGAACTGGTATCACATCACTTTCTTTTTTTAAATTAAATCACTTATGGAACTAATGGTGTTGATGTAATTGCTGTTATGGTACTTTGTAGACAACGGAAAGCTGCTGGGAGGAAAAACTCTTCTAAAATGCTTCTTTTTTGCAAACTAGTAGGGAGGAGGAAGCTGAACTCAGCTGTGGAAGCCCTAACTTAGGGTGCCCCTGCCTACAGCTGTGGGTTGTGCTGCATTACTACTCAGCTGCTCTCAGGTTTTCTCTTACAGATCAAAATCAGTATTATGACATTTTATGGTTACGTGAGATATTATTTATTGAGTTATATTTGTGGATATTTGATTGGTTTCTTTAGCCAAGAATTTGAAAACACAATAGAAAAGCTGTTTTCCTAAAATAGGAGAGCTCAGATATTGAGTTTGAGTCTATGGGTCCCTTATCTAACAACAAAGTCACATGGTTTGGACTTTGAGATTCTCAGAAATATGTAAGGATCCTGAATATGCCATCAGCTTCTATGCTGAAATATTTTTAATTTTTAAGCATTTGCTGTAAAGATGTAAGATTTAGCTAACCAATCCTGTCAATTTAGTAACATAAAAGAACAATTTCATCTCACCAGTATTAGATTTTTGCTGAGAAAAAGGTACCACCTGTTATTGTGGAATATATTATGGTGAGGCCCTAGTTAGTGTGGTCCAGGCATTTGCCTGCAGAAAACTTTTTTCATAAGGAAAACTTCTGTTTGAGTAATACATGAACTAAATGTTCACTTAAGTAAAGTTCCTGTAAAGTTCTTTTAAGGCATTATGTTAAAAAATAAACCCTCATCAGGTGGACATTGTTAGCTCTGTTGGCACTCTGAATTGCCAACACAAAGAATATACTTTCTTTTACTTTCTGATCCATGACAGCCACGTGCTTCTGCTTATCAGACACGGTGATAGTCACAAACTTAATGGTTACTCAAAACTAAAATTTCAGTTTTTCCACTGGACACAGTGCTACATAAAGTGTAATACAATACAGTGATCTTTGTTTTCCACTACAAAGACTTTGTATCTACTTCAAAACATTTCTTTGTATTTGAGGGGTTTTCTCCCCGCCCCAATCCTAATTATTCCTGACTCCTTGCATCTGACCATTTGAGGAACATTTGTTATTTTCTAAGAACGCAGAGCTGGTACTTGCTGTATTTTCACAGGTGTTGCAATGACTGTACATTTTGAGCAGTCAGTTTCTGATTTGCATGAAACAAAGAGACAGGCAGATCTCCCTCAGGGGTCACCAAGGGGAGAAGAAATCTTGATTATCTTAGAATTTTTTCCCAAGTCCCCGTGTCTCTCCGTGCACATCGAGCTGCCAGTCTGCCGAGCGAGCGCTCGTCCACCTTGCTTTTTAAAGGAGTCTCTGGCGCCTTTTAATTCTGGGAGGTGATTCGCTTTTGAGCGTTACCTCGTGCTGGACTGCCCGCTCTTTGCGGGGTGTTGTGCGGGCTGTGCTGCCCGGGCGGTGTGCGCGGCGCTGGCGGCGGGCGGCAGCAGAGAACTGTGCGGCACCGACACCGGCAGGCACGGCCGGGCTGAGCCAGGGCTGGCCGAGCGAGCGCACAGACTGACGAGATGTGGGGGAAATTATTGTACTGAACACCTTGAGAGCTGTTCTGAGGGTTATTTTATGTGGAGCTGTTCCCTTCCCCGGAATACCTCAGGAACAAATAAGACCTCTGTGTGCTAAAGGGGGAAAAAAAAAACACAACGAAGGCTGCCATTGGTGTGTGTGGCTTTTGGAAGCCCTTCTTTTGAGTGCAGCTGTCTGCTTGCTCTGTCTCCCTCTACCTTTTCCACCCAGACAGCATGGATCCTCCAATGGTTCACAGAATCACAGAATATGCTGAGTTGGAAGGGACACATCAGGATCATTGAGTCCAACTCCTGGCCCTGTGCAGGACACCCCAAGAGTCACACCATGTGCCTGAGAGTGTTGTCCAAACACTTCTTGAACTAGTGCTGGGACTGCTTCCCTGGGGAGCCTGTTCCAGTGCCCAGCCACCCTCTGGGTGAGAAACCTTTTCCTGATATCCAACCTAAACCTTCCCTGACTCAGCTTCAGGCTGTTCCCTTGAGTCCTGTCATTGGTCATGAGAGGGAAGAGATCAGTGTCTGCCCCTCCAGTTTTCCCCTCGTGGGGATGCTGAAGACCACAGTGAGGTCTCTTCTCCAGGCTGAATGAACTAAGTGACCCCAGCCCCTCCTCATAAAGCTTCTCCTCCAGACCCTTCACCATCCTCATGGCCCTCCTTTGAATGCTTTCTAAGAGCTTAATGTCTTTTTCTATATTGGGGTGTCCAAAACTGCACACAAGACTCGAGGTGAGGTTACCATTTCTCCTGAGATATTCACTGCTAACCTAAGGAAGAATGAACAGAAAGGTGAAGAAGAATTCTGCATGAGTGGGAACTTTCTGGACCCCAGAGTTCTGCAGAGGTGGTACCGAAAGTGCAGCTTCCTGATTCCTGCCAGTCCCAGGGGTCTCAGGTAAGCAGAAGGAGGAAGATGTGTCAATAACAGGAAAGAAACGTGCAGCAGAGTGACAGGTTGCTGTGGCACAGCATAAGTTTTTTACTGCTTTAGTCTGTGCCTGTGCTGGAACTGCTCTGGGAGTTGAGTTCTCTGGAGTGCAGAGCCTCTTAATGTGTGAGGCTTGAACTCCTGTCACTGCCAGTGATCAGCAAGGATTTTGGGCAGGATTTAAACTGCAGAAGCAAGGAGGAACTGTGGAAGTCATGACTGTAGGAACTATCCTAGAAACCAGATGGTGACTCTTAAGGGTGCTTCTTGTGCTGTGCATGTAACCAGAACAGATATTCAGCTGTGGAGTCTTACCTTGAACCTGAAGGACCTGAGAGATATCAAATCCTTGGCTAATTCTGACAATAATCACCCCGAGCTCAAAATCAAAGGCATCACTGGAAAGAAAGAAAAAGAAGCATGAATATGCTTTTGCATTGTGCACATCAGGGAGGGAAGCTGCTTTGAGAAGATCACTGGAAGTGTCACTGTTCACAGGGAGGCCAGGCTAGGTAAAATTGCAGAAGGAATTGCCTAAGATTAAGTTAAGTACTATAAATTTTCTTCTCTTATTTAAAAGAAGGGTATGATTGGAAATGGGAACAGATAGGCTATTCCTGGAATGGAGCTTTCAGACAACACTTTTTTAGGAACTAGGTTGCCATTGGGTAATTTTTTCTCCCCACTCTGAGGAAATAACAGAGCTGAGGTGGGGTTTGTTGCTCTGCAACTCGCTTATGGTGAGTTTTGAGCAAAAATCTATGAGAAGCCTGTTTCTAAATGACTGTTTCCCAGTGAAATCCCAACCCACAGAGCTGCTGAGCCTTAGGCACACATGAGATTTGAAGCAAGGCTCTTCCTCTGTCTCCTAGGCTTAAAAGAAGAATTCTATGATGTTCTCTTATTCCCTAAGTATGTACATGATGGTTGTTTTTCTCTGAGCTCCTACCCACTAAAAATGGGAAAATACAGCTCTGCAAAAGCCCTGCTGACAGCAGAGCAGCTCCTTCAGTGCTGTCAAGCCACATCAGCTCCGACAGTGCAGATGTTTGACAAGCAGATCCTACTGGGTGTGGGAAGCCAAGGAGCCTTTTTTAATTGGCAGTAATTTCTGTTACAGGGGAAATGTGTGAGCCCAGATTTGTAGGTATTTACGTTGTTTCTACACATCAAATTCTGTATGTCCGTGCTGTGTTCAGCTGGTCTGAGAGGAGTGAAAAGGGAGGTGCTGAGCTGACTTACTGTATAACACCCACATAGTTTTCAATTTGTATGGCAGGTGCAGTTCTCCAGTCCTTCTTAAATCCAATCACCAAGGTATTTGGTTTCATTCTGCCCAAGCCCGAGGCCTAACAATGTTAAAACACAGCTTAGAAAGGTACACACACACACACGCTTTTAACTGTAAATGAAAAGTAATGGCAAAAGATAACTGAAGTAATGTTCTGGAGACCCTTACAACGAGATTGCATTTCATAAATGCCCTTCGTGCTCATACCCAAGCAGAAATCAGAAAGATTAGCTTTAAATCATTCCAACTATAAATGATTTTAGATGACATAAATGTGGTTTTGCTAAATTAGCATTCATTTGCATTTCTTCTGACATGCTCTCATTAAAATGGTTCAATAACTTGGAATCAAGAGAGAGTTCAAGAACTGTTTGCATGCTCATTCTAACATAATAGCATAAAGCTTTTATCAGCTTTGGAATACTCCATAGATGAACTGAGTCTGAAGTCTCTTAAAACATCTCAGAGACACAGAGAAGGCACAGCCTCCTAAGAATATTTTTTTTAATTTGGAAACTGTTGCTGTTCCACTTGCTGTGTTCTTTTCAAAATATCCAAAATCAGGTAAGCATGCTTTATAGATACATCAAGGTATCCTTTTATGTGAAGCACTACTGTTTAGTGTTAAATTATGGCTTATAAATCGGAAGAAGAAATGGTTTGTCAAGATATTAAATTGCCTCCAAAACTAGTTCTGGATACTAAAACCTGGCCAAGTAAGGGTAGTCAGATCTAGATTCAGCTGACTTAATTTTTGTAGAATTCTAAATACTCAATGTATTGGGAACCTTCAGGAGGAGACACACAAAATACCAGCTGGTTAAGTTGTTACACTTGCCAATTTTTACTACTAGCAAGCAGAAAAGAGGTAAAAACTGTTTGAATCTTGGTGGGTATTTTGAGTAGCTCTGATATATCTGCACTGTTTACACTGAAATGAATAATTGTTGCACATGACCTTAGGTTACAATAGTGATGATATGGTTTTCCTTCTGTTTGCTAGAAGGGCATTATTTGTGGTCCAGTAGTTGACTTTGGCAATAGTAGTAATGGAAAGGAAGAGATCATCAGACTGTAACAGTTCTCAAAAACATCAGAGGGATCTCCTACTGAGACAATGTATAAACCCAAGATGAAGTGTCTTTGTGAGGCTTTGATAGAACAAAGGGACCTTTATTAATAGCATTTCATCTTGCTCAATTGTACTGTCCATTCAGCAAGTGCACAAAGAGCCCTGGTAGGCTGCCAGTGGGTGACTGTTACCCAGAGTATTTTAGTTGGTTCCCTACTGTCTCAGTTTGCACTGATGTCTTTTCAGCAGTGTACTTTGTGCAAAGGATGTGAATTTTCTCTACTTTTTGCCTCAATACCTGTGTGTTTAAACATTCATATATATGAAGAGGGGGAGATGGGAAATATGAAAACAGTGTCTCTGTGCCTTCATTAAGGCCATTTTAAATGGACTGTTGGAAATGATCTGCTGTATTCTTGGAGTAATAGAAAAATATTGCAGACTTTTATTTAAATGGCCTCCTCGCTGTTTGCAGAAAATGTATATTACACATTTTCAGTTTTCATTTAATGCAAAAACATTCTCATATATTTAATATGCTGCATAATACCAAACAATAGAATTGATTTGAAGTGTATCAAGTGTCAGCTGCAAAGACGTTCATATGTTGCCCTGCAGATGCCTCTCTTTTTTCATAAGTGTCTTGTTCATTTAGGAGAGAATCAGTCTGCCTTGTCTCATAATGCCATAGCCCAGAACGAGATCTTTACGAAATGATCTGTAATATAATATACATTTATATTATGCCCCTTCTGCATTCTGCCCCCAGAATGCCCCTTCTGTCTATAACATTATCCATCCATACATACACAGGGCTTCTTATCAAGTAAACAGTAATGCTCCACATAAAGGGATGCTTTGATGTAACACTCCTCTGTGTGTTCTGTAAACAAAAAGCTTACTTGAAGAAGACTTTTGACTCCGTCTCTGAAGCTGTCAGCTGCCACTGCTGCATAAAAGGCTTTTCTTTTGTTTTTTGTGAGCCAGGCCTGCTTTTTTTCCATGCCACTGTTCATCTCCTTAACACACAGCTTGCGTGGGCCCTGCATGATACAATAAAATATTATTAAGGTTTTGTGTTGTACATCACACAATGATTTTGAAGGAGTTACCTGTGAGTTCTGCTGTGGGAGCAAATGGAGAGAGCCAGAAAAACACATTTCCAAAAAGGGTCCACAGAGATTCAGCCCTTTGAAAAGAAGTGTGCTGCTAACATAATTCACGTTCTGTTCGAGAGGGCTGAGGCTGTTAATGCTACTTAAATGTAGTGATGCTGACAGAAAGAGGGACTACTATGGATTGTAACATCTTAAAAAAATATCTAGGGTATGATAAAGCATCTCAGAGTGAATAAAGTCCCTTCCTGACTTGACTATGTAAAAGAGCAGATCTAAATATACTTGTTTAAGCTCCTATCTACTAATAGTAAGAGAAAAGAGTTATGCAATACAATTAAAGATGCAAATGCCTTTGACACCAGTTTCTTTCACTGGTCATCTGGTAAGTTAATGGGACAAAAATCCATGTGCATATTGGAGTCACAAGACATGAATGTTACCTACAGAGGGTTTGATCTTGACTGTTTGAAGAGCTGGGAATAGTAACTTGAACAATAAGGTTGATGTTTCCTTGTGGGTAAAAGGGGAGAAAAACAAGGTTTACCCTTCTTCCCTGTCTCTTTAAGGAGAGAGAACCTGAAGATGGTTTTGCAGCTGGCTTGCACAATGTTTCTGCTGGCCAAGGGGCCAGTCCCACCCTTCTGTCGGGGGACAGCCTGTCTGTGTCCTCCCCTGCTCCTCCTTTGCACCCGTGGTAATGTTTGTGCAGTTGTACAAGGAGCGCAGTGAATTTGCAGACTGAAGATTAACCTTTCAAAAATAGTCTGTGAAGGTAGGGAGTAAAAGCAGGATAGCCCTTTTTACTGGAAACTCTGTTCAAGCCAACGTGCAGCCACAACCTCAGACACAAGTAAACTTTAAATTGCCTTCATGTTCAGTTGCTGTATTTATTTTGCCTATTTGTGAACTGTCACCGTGTTCCTGGAAAGTTTCTTGCTGCTTTTTGGAAAAAAGGAATGGAAAATGCTCTCTCTGGCATGGTGTCTCAAAACTTCATGTATAGCTGACAGCATGTCAGCTTTTGAGGCAAAATATGCTGGGTGTTACATTTATAGCTGAATAGTCTTGCTGTATTTTATGATATATATTGTAGGCTGCTCTTCAATGTGGTTCCTAGGAATTTTATCATCATTTTTACCACAATTTTGCAAATCACAGAGGTTAATTTTGTCACATTTTTATTACCAAGCAAATGAAATTTCACTTAAGTTGCCAAAGAAATAATTTAACCCCCTCCCCCCAAAATAATTACGATGCTTACACTAAGAAAATAGACTTAGATTTTTTTTTGTATGGAGAGGAATGAAATCTCAGTTTTCCTTAGAAAGTACTAATATTAGAGAAACATGCATAAGAATTCAGAAACATTGCTGAAACTCAGCTTTAGGAAGCTGCATAGTTTCAGGATCTTATTGGGATTGATTCTCTGCTTTTACTGCATGTGATGGGAAAGCTAACAATAATTATAGTAGGGAAGAACTGGGACCAGTCACTCTTTATAGATTCATTTGATTTGAGAAGAATCACATATGGATCTTCTGTACTCCATTTCTGCAATGTGGCAGCATCAAATGAATTATTCCTACACTCCTCTAGAGCAATGCATTATCTTTCCTGAAATGACTCTGTTATCTAGATTCTGCATCCCCATTTGTTGCCATGAGCTGGTTTTTTTTTTTTTTTCCTTTCTTTTGCTTTCAAAATGAAAAGGTAATTGCAATATTTAAAATACATTTTCTCTCTACATTACAGACCTATCTATTTTTATTCTGTCCTAATGAGAGACTAGATCTTCATCCTCGAAGATACATAATTTGCTGTGTGTATTTATAATTAGAAATTTACTTTTCTCCTCTCTTTAGATCTCAGAAGAGCATGTTTATCCTCAGAATTAGCATTGTAACAGTTTTGGAGGAACCACTGCAAATTACTGAGAGCTGAATTACCAAGACTGCAAATCAGTGACAGAGCTGAAAATAGAGCCTGGGTAATTTGACTTTTGCACAATAATCCTTCAAATTTTATGTGTTGTGTGGTTTGGGGGTCTTCTGTGTTCTAAGCCTAAAATCTTTCCTTGTAATATTCTATTCTTTTCAAACCATTTTTTTGGTCCATCTGCTATGAACTCTGAAATGCATCTCAATGAGGCATTTACCAGCAGGCTCCGTGTCAGCTGATGTCTTTTGTGTCAAGGATTATGACAAAATTCCTTCTCAGTGCGAGTCTCTGTCGTGGTCTGCCCAGACACAGACCAGCACAATGGGAACAACGTGTGCTGAGAGTGGAATGTGCAGTGGGGACCTGCAGCACCCACTGGGGCTGAGTTTCCAGATCTGTCTGAGTCGACCTTACCATGAACACTTCACAGCAGATGCACAGCCCGTTGTTCTTGGTGAAGGTGTGTGTGATGTCCAGCAGAGCAGGCCTGATCATAGGAGCTCCTGTTAGTGCTATGCACTGGGGTCTGTTAGGAAGAAAACAAGCTGTAAATATTTGGCTGATACACATGTTCAGGATAAACCATTCTGCTGTTTACTGGAGATCTTACCTGAAATTTTTCACGTGGTCTTCCACCGTCGTTAATGCCAGAGCGCTGTCTAAGGCATTAACAAAGTAAAGAGCCTGTGTAGAGGAGCCCCAGTTTACTTCTGCATATAATAGAGATAAATAATGCATATTAAACCATGGGCTTTTCCCTGTGTTCTGTTGCAAAAGTCAGCAATCATGTTCTCTATGAAACAAAGCAGGGTATATTCTCTTCTGCTTCACAGATACAGACTTGTTGTTCTTTGTGCTTCTAAATAGAATAGGTTTTGCTTGTGTGATGCAAAAAAACCCCATGCAAGTAAATGTTTTTGACAAGTGCCTTGTGACAGGTGTGTTCTCCTAGAGCTGATGATATATTTACAGGAAAGAACCACAGGCCATCCCAATGGGTATGAAAACCCAGACAGGGAGGACACAGAGCAGTGCAGCAAAACACAGAAAAGAATAACAGCCTCAGACCAGGTGTTGCTGTCCCCAGCTGGGTGCAGTAAAGGCACATCTTCTCCTGGGAAACTTGTCCCTTTTATTTGTATTATTTTCTTTATACTGCAGAAGTAATTCAGGTGGTTATCACTGAAATCTGGACCTGGGTTAGTTTTGTCCTGGATACGAATAACCAGACTGTCTTGTCTGGTACTGGGGCTGTATTATATTAGCACACAGATTTCTGAGGACAGCTCCTGTGACTTGCTGAGCTACTAAGCAGTTTTTTTTCCAGCAGTAAAGTGCGCCCATCTTCTTTTGATTTATGGAGGGATTGTAAGGAGGTGCTGGAGGATGATCAGTTCAGGAGTAATTCAGATTGCATTTTTGTTGTTGTATAATGGGCAGCAGGTTTGGATTTTGAGTGATGACCCTGGATGAGTCAGCTGGGAGCACTGCAAAATTCAGGTAAGGTTTTGTGTGTGGGTGGAAAAAAATTATGAGTGATACTCAAGTAAAACCCCAAATGTCATAAAGATGTGGTGGGAATAAACCAGTCTGCTGGAATGTTTACAGAAAGCCCTGAACCATTCTTGAAGTACTTGTGAAACAGGCAAACATTCACCAGACTATCAACTTAATCTGTATTATATAAAGTGGAATTTAATGGGATGCTTCAGACTTGCCTCTAAATAAAGATATCAGAGAAAAAGTAATTGCTAATTCTGTAAGCAGAATGAATTCCTTTAAAATCCAGTCTGGCTATATAACATAAACACATAATAATAGCAGGGTTTGGCCTTACCTGGCTTCTTATATGTTACATAAATATATAGAAAGAGCTCAATGGCATAAGTGATGAGAGCTGCCCACCAGTTGATGACAAACATCACACCGCAGCATAGCAGGGCTCCAAAAAGTGACACCCACATGTTATAATACCTGAATGCAGGTCTCCAACCTGTTTAAAGACAATTGAGAAAATTAGATCAGCATAAAATACATGGATGAAAGGGTGATTGATGATTTTTTGTGCATACAAACCCATGTGCAGTTTGTTTCAGGCTCTGTCAGAAGGGGTGGGAGTGATATGTGCGTCGTATCAACAGATACTTTAAGTGTTGGCTGCTGTAGGTTTCAACACATACAGAATATTGGGTCTTACAAGCCTTCTGCTATTTCCTACTGTTTTGCTCAGCGTGGCTTTGAGTAGCTATTCTGTTTATAGGTATTTTTCACAAATTAAAGTTTACTGGTTCAGAACATTTCAGAACATCAGAAACAGATTTTCCTGTAACTCCAGGTAATTGGTGACTCTGTCCTTTTGGTGCATATACACAGAACTTATTACTGGTAGCTGAACACTTGCTGAGAGGAGAGTTTATCCCAGTACTGTAAGTGCACCTGTCTAAAACTGGAAATCGCCTGACCTCACTGCAGAAAAATAAAATCATTTGCAAGTGACTTTAAAAAGGTATTATTCCTGCTGCTCTTCCGCTGCAGCACTGAATCCATCCCCTGCTACCAATTAAAATGATGAGGCAAGCAGTGAGCCTCCATGGTTTGCAGGTCTCTGCTAGGTGTTCTACAGAGCACACTCTTTGGAGAGGGAAAAAAACACAGAAGATACAAGAAGGGACTGAGAAACCCTGTCTTGGATCATCTTTGTAATGAGGGAATGGGAAGGACCTGCTGTGAAGAAATTTGCTGTCCTGCAGCCTTGCAATTATTATAATCTATCACTGTGAATTGACAGAAATTAACTGGAGGAAATGAGAAAAGAAAAATGGCTGCAGTTCTGTCTGAAATGTTAAGCAGTGGTAGAGTCAGATGCAGGCAGATGAAGTCTATAGAGGTAATTGTTACTCAGCTCCAAGGCCATGTGGAGCATATCTGCATTTGTTCAGCTGTGCAGGTAATTAGCAGAAGTGCTCATCTTTTCTGCCCTCTGAACAAATGGCACCATGCAGCTCTATAGGAAGGGAGTTGATGGAGGTATTTTTTGTTGCTACTGCGGTTTCTTCACACTGGAAATCAGAAATCTATTCCTCGCTTCTTGAGTTGAATAATTAATTCACAGCATCAGGAAATTGTCTTTCCTGTGTGCCAAAGCCAGTGTTGCTCAGCTGATTGACTTCAGTCCTGAAGGTGTCACCCCTTCATTGATGAAGATTTGAGAGTCAGTCAGCTCTGGCAGTGCACCAGCCTGGAAGCCACTACGTTCCTTTGCTGCACAGATGTAGAGAGGGGATCTCAAGTCACCCCTGAAAAGGCTCTCACTGCATTTCACCTCACAGTTCTGCTTCCAGGCACTGCAGAGCTGTGCTGGTGCTGTCTGGGGGACCTGCTCTTGCTCTGCATGTTCCCCTCCGGGCAGCATCACTTCTACTGCAATTACTGTTTGTATGAACCTCCCCACACACTTCACTGTAGATTTGGAGGAGAAGGACATGATTACTCCCCATTACACCTTGCTTTATGTGGCTAGAGTTAGCACAGGCTGTTATCCACCCATGTTTCGTGATAGTGAGAGGAAAAATACACCCTTAGGAGGAGCTTTTTTTGCTCCAGTGGGATCCACTGAAGTATTTTTCATCCTGTACAACTGTAGGGATTGTAAGGACTAGAGCCATTATTTTTATCTCTTGGAGATAAATAAAATGTCTTCATATTCAAGAAGAGCAGTAAAACATCAGATCACATAGCCTAGGTATTTTACACATGCTGCAAATTCCTCTGATATACAGTTAAAAACTTGCAGAGGTCAGACTATAAAGCCCACATTGAAATAATTGGTGAATGCAGACTCACCTGGAGATTTTGCGTATGAGGCATGAAAGCAGGAGAAGTTAATCAGGGCGTATGAAGCCAGGAAGAAATTGGAAATGATGGGAGCAATGGTATTCAGTTCAGCTGCAAGACATAGACACAAGTCAGACATAGGCACCAGGTTCCTGGATTGTTGGCTGGCTTTTTCCTAATGATGCATTAAATCTGAACATTGTCTGAATTTGTCATCCAGGGAGAGCTTGGGTATTTTACTGTCTCACGAATTGAAGGCCACTTTGATATACCTTAATTCACATGAATGATGGCTGTTAATGCTGATTTTAATAACATTATGTGCCATGCAAGGTACTGTGATTCTACAGACTGTCTCTTAACAATGTAGATCTGGTGTAAAGTTAAGAATTTTAAATACATAATTGAAAGGACATGCTTTGCACAAAATATTTATAGTTAAAGCTTATTGTTTTGCTTTTTAAAATGGAAATCTGAATTATCTTTACTAGACATCCTATTTGCTTAGAGTCAGACAGTTTACAGTCAGATATAGTTATAAAGACTGTCCTCTTCTAGCAGAGTGAACAGGAATTGAAACTACGCTGCATCTTTGAAAATGAGCTGTGGTGGTTTTGAGATGTCACAAGAGTCCCTGTTGGTTTCTTTTTGCCATCATTAAGAATAATGGAACTACTACCAGGACTTGAGTGTGCTTGAGTTCATGTCAGAGCTTACCTGACTGGAAATTTTTCTAACCATAGCTAATAATTGTATTAAAATACCAGTTTATTTAATTTCAGAACATGGTATTATAGCCGTTATTTTATTATTATATTTATTATATTTAATTATAAATATATTATTATACAAACCAATCAAAATGAATGCCATAGCAATCACGAAAGTGAGAACATATCCCCTGATGGGCTCGTTGTTTTTTCCATATCCTTTGGCAAAGAACTCGAGCCCTTTGTAGACGTTGTCCTTGCAAAGAGCCTGGTAAGAAATTAGAATGTAATTCTGTTAAGCAGTGCTTTCTTGCATCAGAAGTCATTGTGACCAGCAGCCTGCCAGACTTTTGCTAAACAAGTTAGATTTATCTTAGTACTTCAAGTACATCCACTGCCATGGCATGTGAATATTTAAATAAGGTGATAAGACAATGTGCTACTACGTTACTGTATAGTGGGAAACAGAAAATACAGGCATTTAATGCTTATTCAGCGCTTTAAACGAAAAGATTAATTAAATAGTTGAATAGAATATAAACTGGGGAAAATTGAAGCTCAAATCAGTGTCTTGGTGTAAATTGTACAGCTTGTCTCTCTGTCCCATGCCCTCTGCTCCCATTCTCTCCCCATTGCTGCTGCCCAGAAAACTTGTGGAAAGCTTGTTAGACGAGACCTGCCAGCACCTGAATCTTATGGTACCGAGGGCTCCTGGCACTCCTGTGCTTGCAGGATGACTTTCTGTGAGAAGATAGACGTGGTCCTGAAACCAGCCTTCAAGCTATTTATGAGACACATGTGTATCCCCACTCCTGCAACAAAGCTGAGCTCTGACCAAGAGAATATTATTGCCCTTGAATGAGGATAAAACCTGCCTGTTTCCATTGAAAAACGTTGTACATACTGTTTTCTCTGCCTTTTCCTCCCACAGGTGTCAGTGTTGTTTAAATATATATTACATTTGGCACATAGAGTTCAACTATATTTTGTGTCTTTGAAGTAAAACCGAGTATAAGGAAATGGATAGTTTAATTTTACCTGGAACACTTTGGGTGCGCTGACAAGAGATGCTAGAGCTGAAGACAGAGTAGCTGAAAAGATGCCAGCTGTGATGAGAGGACCAAAGCCAGACACCATGCTCATCACCTTTATGAAAAAAAGAAGGTAAAAAGAATAGTCAGTCATCACCTTTATGAGGAATAGAAGGTAAAAAGAATAGTCAGGCTTACATTTAGATGCAGATTTTGTTGACAGACCCATTTAAGTACTCTGTTTCTGTGTCTCTGCTTTTCATGGTTCTAAATTCAATCTGCTACAAACCAACTGTGAAGTAAGGAAATACTATTAGTTCTGTTTTCATAAAAAGCAATGGGGGCATAGCCAAATTTTTATTCAAGTATACAGTTGTCTGCTGGGGCAGGTGAGTACTCTGTGAGATTTTCTCACCCCTTTACTAACTTATTGCTACAAGTAACAGCCTCTACTGGACAAGTAAATAGGCAGTTTGTAGCAAGAGAGGAAAATGGAAATGGCAGGAAAAAGCACCAAAGCATGAAACGTGGTTGGAGGCACTTTATTTGGTTTGGGGTTTCCTTGATTATTTAATATGGCTAAAAAAGAGAGAAAGTGCCTAGTTGTGTTGGTGTAACCACAGTGCTGCAAACAGCAATGGTGGTCACTGTTAGGCCTCCCTGAGCCCTCCTGGGGGGCTGGACTGCCTTCTGTGACAGCTGAAGCAAAAGGGTTGTTGAGAAGCACCAGACAAGGAAACTAAAAGATAGACGGCTGTGGCTGTCACATGCTTTTTGGTGTGTGGGAAATAGTCCAGGAAAGAAACCAGTTAATCCTGAAGATTTGTCAGATGAAGATACATTGTGCAACTCAGTTTATGGCTGTAGGGAGGTCATTGATGTAGAGGGGTGCCCCAGGTCTGGGCAGCTGAACTGAGGTGGGAGTGAGGATAGTAAATGATCCAAGAAGGGAAGGGAAAGTAGTCTGTGAAAGGGACTGCATATCCCTTTTAAGGTGGTTACCCAGCCCTGTCATTTAGCAGAGCCAGCTGGGAAAAAAGCAAGTGAGTTTAAAAGCTACAAATGACTAGTTGAAAAGCAAGTGCAGGTGGGTGGTGAGTTCCTCTCGCGGGCCATGAAGGACAGGGGCTGAACAGAGATCTGGGAGCTGTGGTTGTCAGGCTGCAGAACTGCTTTACTTTGATGCTTTGCCTATGCTTTATTTTGAAGAATAAAAATGGCAGACAGTCTCTCTCTGGCCTACAAGAAAGACCCCATTACTTCTCACTTGATTTTACACTCGACTATTTTTGGATACTTTTTTTAAAGAAGTCAGAACTCTGTTTTTTGTACTGTGGCACAAACCTTTAACAGTGACCACAGCACCCCTGAGGTAAAATCACATCCATGTGTCAAGAGCAGTGACGTGAGTTGCTCATCTAATGGTTCCTGAGGTCTCTGTTAAGTCTAGGCTTTCAGTTTGAAGATGTTACAGCATATACTGCTGCATGGTACTTGTTGAAAGAGGAAATGAAGACTTTACCAGAGTGCTAGGAAGGCTAGTGTTGAGCAGGATGGAGGTAATATGGAATGCAGGGGATTTTTGCCTTTCATTATTCCTGTAGTTCTTTCCTTTTTGAGATAAAATTGATTGTCCTGTTGCAGTTAGTTGTCTGTAAATAATGGGTTTGAATGTTTGTACTTATGGATTTGAGTATTGCTTATGATTATACATATTATGGCATTAGAACCTGAAAATTATTCATCAGCCCATAATCACATGGCTGACTTGCACATCTGGAAAAATCATAGCCTAGGCCACAGGCAGATGATCCATTGCAGCTCATTCCAGGTACAATTGTATCATTGACGTTCCCAGTAGCATCTCGTACAACACAGGAGGCTGTGGAAACAATCATATATTATTATTTTCATTCCTTGTGACATTGGAAGAATGTTCTTGCCATTTGACTCCTAATCTGCACATATTTTGTACAACTGCTACCTTAGACTCATCCCAAGAGCAACGTTTTGTGTTGGGAAGAGATTTCTACCCTGTTCTATGACTTAGATTATCGTGGTGTCTGTAGGCAAATATTCCCTTCTGTTACTGTTAGAATAATCAGCCAATTGACTAGTGAGGATTAGCATATTTCTGAGATGTGACAAGACAGAGATCAACAAAAAACGGACTAACTCAGAAAGTATATTGTCTTCTTGTCACTACTTTTACAAGTGCAAGTATTCAAAGGAAACAGGTCAGTGAGGTTCTTAGGTCTAGGCATCCACATTTTTTTATTTAACAAGGACACCCTATTGCTTTAGAGACCCAGATCCTCAGCTATTCGAATTGTCATAGCCCTACTGATACCAATGTGATGAAAAAAACAGGAGAAATTGCCTATATTCTTTTTGTGTTTATTGATATTTATGTTGTCTTTATTTGCTTGCCACCAGAAATGAGAAAAAACACGTGGAGGGAACTTGGAGTGCTGATCTCAACATCTTCAGTGGCCAAAAGGTAAGTTTTTGTGGTAACTTCAAATATGTCAAAAACATTGAGAGTCCCAAAATAACCATTATCTATTTAGGAAACCAATATGCAAACAAGGGAAAAAAAAAAAAAAAAGGAAATACTTCACTGAAAAATACACAGCTCTGAATTTGAAATACAGCTATTGCTTGTGAGAACAGAGCAATGTTCTCTAACAAACAACAGTGATTTATAATAGAAAGGAAATTTATAATAGAAAATGAAGAATGACTACTTCAACTTAAATTGCAGGGGAAATTTAGATCCAAATAATGCAATGACCTGAGCTGAGGCTTGAGTCAAGCATTCTGCCTTTTGCATAAAGTACAAGAACAACAAAAGTCAAGAAGACTTGAGAGTCATCTCCCAAGAAAGGAAGTACTCTGCAGGGCTTTCATACAGTATTGAGGTATTTGCTCATAAGAAAGGGTGTCATTTACAACCCTCTTTCTTACAGTAGTATTAAATACATAAAGAAAAATATTTTTCTTGACCAGAGATTTACTGTCTGCTTATAAAGAGGATTTAACTGCATAATCCTCCAACACAGTTCATGGCTTCAGTACAGGTCTCCTTCCTATTCATGTCCATTTTGTTGTCACCTCACATTCCAATACTGCAGAGCATGGAGTTGTGTATCTTCTATAGGACAGGCAACTGATTTCTGTCTTGGACATATGACATACAAAATGTGTTACCCTGTTCCTGTGATTCTCGTGAGTGCTCAGTAGTGAGAGCAAGCAGAAGCCATGTGAAATGTCAATGTGAGCAAGGAACAGAAGCTCAGCAGATTGATCAGAGGTTCCTTTCATCTTCACTGTGCTCATGGATACTATATGCTAGTGGTCTTTGTCAGCAAAAGTAACCATACAAGTTATGTGAAGGTCCAGCTGCCAAAAAGACACTTTTGTTTCTGCTGATTGCTGCTTTTTTTCCCCTCATCGTTTTTACATACAGTAAAATCAAAACTACTGTGTCTCTACATAATAAGTTCACGTGATGAAAGAGCAGGTACAAATGAAGCCCTGGAGCAGAGGTTCTGTACTCACCTGCACAAATGGCCACGGCAATGTAAGCAATGGTGGTGATCACGATGGCCAGCATTGTCCCCTGGGGTATCGCACTCTGGGGATCCTGAAAACAAAGCAGGGACACGACAGACACTGAGTTTGTGGGCTGCAGTCTGATGGCATTTGCATGCTGGGAGTCCTGCCACACTGTGGTATGGAGATGCCCTTAGAGGGCAGATTTTTATCACTTGACCTACAACAACATTTCAGGTCCCAGCACACAGAGAGTGTGAAGTGGTCCTGTGGAGCAGTGCTCCTGTCCTGGACACAGTGAAGGATGTTCTACAGGAGCAGAGGTCACGTTTATTGCAGCACGAGGGTCCTGATCTCTGCATTTCTGAGAGCTCCAAACTCTCTTTACGTTGTAGTTGGCTTTATTTTAAATGATGTAATCAGTAAATAGTTACTGAAAGAACCATCAAACTCCTGTGTATGACAAGATGGGACCATTTTTGGTTAATTGGTGAAATGGATGCAGTGACCCTGCACAGAATACAGTACTTCTGTGATTAGCAGTTAGTTATTGTTAGTTGGGTCTTCACAACAGCTACTTTCTTTCACTGTTTTGACTTTTAATTTAGATAATTTAATAAAGCTGGGTTGTAATGCTTACAGACTAGATCACAACAGTATTGGCTTCAATCATGCAACTCTGAGTCCAAAGATCTGCATTATACATTTTAAAGGGGTTTTTAATGCTAGATAACCTTACAATTTAGGGTGTGTTTGTTTATCCTAGGGTTCATTTTTTATTAGTTGTCTTCTTAAGTTGGTTTAGTGAGGTTTTCTAAATCAAAAATGTGTTGAATGTGTTTTAAGTCACAGACTTTTTATAAGTACGGTCATTGCATGGTTAAAAAAAGCGTGAAACATGGATGAATGGCTTAACTGTGTTAATAATTAATATAATTTTAAAATGAAGTAAAGATTTATTGAGCTGAAAAATAGTTGTGAAGTCACTTTATCTGCATTTAACACCCTTTGCTTTCAGACCATGGCAACTTCATGCAGTTCTGCTGTGCATATTTTAGGTCATCTAGAGTCTAATGTGGTTATCTTAAACTCCGTAACATCAAATCTTAGGGTTAAGTCTTCTTACGGCTTTACAACTTTTAAATTAAACACATATTTACTATGTTGTTAGCACTTTAGGGGCTGCTCCAAACCCTGCTGAAGTCACCAGGAAGACTATTTGTGTTTGTAAGTAGGCTTTGGACTAAGACACGACTTGATTATGTAGTGGCTGCAGGAGCATGTATGAATGTATTTGCAACAAATTCTAAAGAAAGTTTAGTTGGTCAACATTACACTTTTTGAACACTCCTTAGCTTGTCTTTTAGGTTGCTGGAGAGGCTGGTTAATTTAATTAGACCTGTCTAATGCATCTAAACATGCTCAGTGGGGAATCTGCAGCCTGGAGTACTTGCTTATAGAAATCCACTTATTGTCAGACTGAAACAACTGCAGAGATCCAAGGGGAGAACTCAGTCTGCTCAGATTCTTTCAAACAGCTCGTGAAAGAAGTGCTGCTGCTTTGGGAGCTGCCATGTAGAGAGAGCACCATATATGGCAAAAGAATTATTTTTGTTTGCTAAAAGGATGGAGATTGTGTGAGGCTGATTCAGTCTCACTGGGCAGAAGTACAATGATTTTTGGTTTTTTAATTAAAACTGGAATCTCACTAACACTATCAGTGGCTCAGTTTCAATGTAGTTCTCTCTGTGCTTGGCTTGAAAAGAAGTCCTTTGAAAACAAAGGAGATGAGGCATCAGCCCAGTGTGAGGAAGGGAAGGAGAACTGGCTGCCAGGTGTGGTAGGATGTGGTCAACTTGTGACTCCTCTGCCAATACAGATATAACAGACCTTTGGATGAACCCTTAGGGTATCCAAGGCGATGGATTTATACGAGAAGGCCAAATAACTTCTTTTGATATACTGGAGTTATCAAGCTGTGAGGGACATCTTGTTGGTGATTTTTTTTTTTTTTCTTTTTAATTTTGGGGCAGGTTGGATGTTTTTGCCATGGAAACTAGAGGGCACTTGAAACTAAATTCCAGTCTCTAATTTACCTGTAATTTTAGATGCTGGAAATACCATCCCCTGCAACTGCTAATGGCAAGAGGAGAGTGGGGAACTGATAGAATGGCCACAGCAAGACAGTTGGTCGCCCTTGGACCTCCTTCCCCTTTCTCTTCAGACTCCTTTCTTTTGTCACAGCTGCAAACTTGCAGCTTTTCCTTTGAGCAGCAGTAGTGACATGGGATTGGGACAAACTTGCTTTCATGAAATGCCCTGTTTACTCTGCCCTTACTTTGACCCTGAATACAAAAGGTGGTCTCTGCCAATTCCTGCGAGTACAAACATGAGCTTTACAGGTATGATTTTTGGGTTGATGTTTGGATTGATGCCTACAAAATACAAACTCCAAGAGATAAACAAGTAATTTCTCTTATGTCATGCGCTGCTAATGGACCATTAATGATATATTATTACAGGTTATTGAAACATGCTTTTAAACGACACAACAACCCAAATCTTACTGCAGTGATTTCTGTAAATAGCCACAATGCTTATGAGAGAAAATGTGAACTGATATTTTCAATTAATAAAATAGGTACTTAAAAGTGAGAGTTTTTCTTCCCAAAATAAAACATGGTTTAAAACTGAATACAATGTTGATTCATGATTTGTTTTCTTGTCCTTTTTTTCAGCCTACAGACAGTATTATGAAGTTAATGAAATACGTACTTTCAGATCTCCTGAGATATTGGCTCCTGCAAGAATGCCAGTGGCAGCTGGGAAAAAAATGGCAAACACCGAAAAAAATCCTTCTCCACTTCTGAAATCTGGTCCAAAGTTTTCTGCAAATATTGATGCTGCAAATACAGGTGAAAATGAAATATACCACCGGGATTTGATTCCAAAGTTACTTAATGAAAGAGGAGAATAAGCCAGTCTTTCACATCTGGAAGACTGGGCTTGAATCTGTCTCATATCATAAGCAAAGTGAATTTGATTTCCTCAGTCTGGTCCCCAGTAGGATGTGCTTGTCTGCATCTCAGAGCTGCAGAGCCATATTGAAGTGACAGAAGTGTCACTGCAGCACTTGCACTTAGGTCTGTGTTCAAGTTTGTCTGTGCTCTGCTGATGTATAAATGACTCAAGCTGCAGCATACTCTGCTGTCAACCTCAGCAGCAGAGAGACAGACTCAAAATTAAAGATGAAGGAATTCCCTTTGTTTGCAAGCTCACTTAAACTTGGGCAGAAGATTCTGATCTTGTGACCTTTTCCAGTGGAATCCTTAACTTAATACTAAGCCAAAAGAATGCAAACATAATTTTGTGAGAGCAAGGTTGCTTACCTTGGTAATTAAAAAAGCCTCTTGCCTTCTTTTCGGTGTTGGTAGGAATGACTGTCCCAATAAAGAAGTTTGCAATGGCAATAAGGAGAACAAATAGAAGAAAAACTTGAGCCTATTAATAGAAGCAAAAAGATTTTCCTCTTAGTTTTAATTTGTGCTGCTGTGGAGATGGTTATATAGTAAGTTATCTGTATGTGTTCCCTATGACAGGTTAATAATTTCTATAGTTTTCAAAACTACCAGGAATCAAGATAGCTGAATCAGCTAGTGACAACAGCAGATATTTTTTACTTAGGGGGTAATGAAATATGTAGTTATAATTTAATTTTATGTTAGTTTCTTTACGAGGAAAGGCAAAATGGAACAGTAATGCATTAATATCAAGTATAAGACATTTTAAAATTGTTATAAAATTTGTTTAGTTGCAGTGAGTTGTGACTTCAAGGGTTGTAATATCAAATTGTTTTCGGATCTCTTTTACAAGTAGTTCTAGTCTCCATCTCAGCAGAACGTAAAAATAAGGATGCTGTAGAATCTGTTTTCTGGTCCTGATTTCAATAGCTGTATTACACTCTCTAAAGTATTTCCATTTGAATTTGCATTCTGACCTTTTTTTACAGGTGAGGGAATAGCAGCAATCATTAGAGATTAAGGAATGGGTAGCAAATAGAGATTTTCTGCTGAGTAGGGCTTGAAAGAGTACAGTGATAAAACAATATTTTACTACTATTTATTCTGTCAAACTGCATCAAAAATAAGGGCAAAAGGGGCACTTAGCCAAGGCTCTAAATGAAGCCATGAATTATAAAAATCAATATAACCAAGCTGTCTGCAGAACATAAACTTCCTCTTTGCTTTTAAATGTATGTTCAAGGAAGAGTGTGGAGTAATTGTGCTTTCATTGAATGTAATGATTAAACTGCTCTTGCTTTTAGAAAGATTAAGCATAAACTGAAGCTGGGTGCCTTTGAAAACTCCACCTGTTGTGTAGCATTCCTCACACACTAATGCTTTAGGGTAGGCTAAAATACCACTTGCTTTAATGTTCTTTTAAAGGTTTACCTTTGCTTCCCATTCCATGCCAGCAGCAGTGATGCCGAGAAGACAGACAACAGTTATGGTGCCTATGATTCTGATGTCATTGGACTCATCTACTATCAGAGTATCACTCTCCTGAAAGAAGTGAGAAATGTTAATAGAACCAGTATTTCTCTGCCTAACTTGTGGGATCAAGTAACAAGGTGAAGCAGAGAGCAGTGGGCTGTCAAAGTTGCAGAGATTTATGAGACCAAGTGTTTGTATTTCATGTTCCAGCTGGCCTTTTGCAGTTGGGGTTATTTGGCTGTCTAATTAGATGACTGTTCCTCTTCTAATTCTGAGATTCTTGTCGAGAAATGTATGAAATGTATTCAGAAGGTAGAAATAATGGAGAAGCACTCTGTGGCATGTTTAGACACACCCCAGCTTCTTCCCAGTTAAAAATGTCCCTCAAGCCTTAGCTAAAAAGTACCACCACTTAAACAAATACATTGCGTAAAACAAACACCGCCCCCTAAAAAAAGAAAAAATGCCACACAAAACAAAACACAAAAACCCTAAACCAACTTAACCACATGCATAAAACATCTACATTTACCTTAAGAAGTTCCACAACTGTTTCGGCAAATCCAACGACGTACATGGCAACTGCCACTGCATTGGCAAAGGCGAAGATAAGTCCTATAGATCCACCAAACTCTGGGCCCAGACTCCTCGAGATAAGGTAGTATGCTCCACCTGCAGACAGAAATGGTTGTTATTTTGGCATAACTAAGTGCTCAGGTTTTGCTTCCCCCCCCCCCCATAACAATTACTGCAGAAATCTGTGCTTTTAGCCTCACAAATATAACTGGGCTTTGCCCTGTGTTGATAGAGGACACTCATAGAAAAGCAATCTGCTTTGTGCTGGTTCTGCCCTCTATTGCAGAAACCTTTTAGTGCATTTTAGCATGCAAGACTGGACCTTGTTATAATTTTGCATGATACATAATATAATTACACAAAGGAGAGAGAACCTCACTTCCAGACAGGTTCTAACTTACATGGATCTGTCGCAGTGTTAGCATGAAGGATCATATTCTGTGGTACATTGTTTAAGCTCCTGCATAGTGATGCAATGAATCTTTAATTTTTTTTGCATTAAGTTTATATACTTTTTAATTTGCTGTTGATCCACTGAAAGAAATCACTCCAAATATATTTCTTTATTATTTCTTTGCTTATAACACAGTTATCTCCATTCCATTTATTTTTCATGAGATCATATTCACTTACCTCCTCTTACTACTCCATTAGTGCAAATGGCAGACATGGAGATACATGTCAATGTTGTTACTACTACACTCAGAGCAATAACTATGATTCCAAGACCTGAAAGATCCGAAAAAGAAAGTATATTCAAGTGTATTCCGGTACCTGTTCTCCTTAAATGACGTAGTTAGAACTTGCCATTTTCCACAGGGGTTAGACCAGGCCAGATAGAAGTTAAAGGCTCTGAAACGCACTAGAAATTTGTTTCATAAAATACCTGACATGCACTTTTACAGCGAACTCATTTACTCGCCTTCCAAGGAGTGGCTGAAACGTAAGGGGTGTTATAAAGAAGGCATTAAACTGAAGGCATCCACTGATGTGCATCAGTGTTTCAAATGAGAGGAAGAGGTGTCTCCGTGCTCAGTTTGTTGAAGGATGTCCGACCTGGAATGCTCTGAATAGGAAAGACCAGCTGAAAGGTAAGAGAGCTCCCTGGAAAGCCAGCAGCCATCCCTCGCTCACAGCAGGCAGGAACACCTGAAATGCACTTCTCAGACGGAACTGAAATCTGGGGTTTATTAAAAGTGACGACCCAAACGTGCCTTAAATTGTGATGAGAGGTGGCTAGAATTGTTACCTTCCAGTTCCTTTAGAGGTACCACTTGGTTTATCGTCCCTCTGGTTTGTCTCACACGGAAATAATACATAAATACCTTTTTGGGCTTGAAAGCATTGGTAACCCTAAGATTTTTACCTCCACGGACAAACCCATTAGTTGCTATTGCAGAAGTTGACAACCCAGTAATTGAGGTTACCATCGTGGCGAGGAGAATTATGATTACTCCAAGACCTGTCAGTAATAAGAAGATAAAATATTTTACTCGAGTTCCATGTTTCCTACAAATCATTCTCTCTTTAAATTGAATTTTCAGGCCAGAATCAGAGCAATAAACTGAAAAGATGGTTTGTTGACCACTTGCAGCTTGCAGAACATTTTCATGGAGGCCATGACACAGTAGTAAATTATTTCCATCAGTCTTCAAGCAGTGATTCTTTGTGATAGGAGTACCCTAGCCAGAATTCTCATGATTTTCAAAAGCTGGAGGAAATGAACAAACAAGTGTCCCTTGACATGGATACTTATATCTTTATACCTCTAACTTATACCTTTAACAGGCATCCTGGCTGTTTAAATGAGGAGACTGACACATTAACCAGAGCTCTTGTAAGAATGCTGCTGTCTTTCATCAGATAATTAAATAGTGAATCAGAGGAAGATTCACAGAGCACCAGGGCAAAGAGTCAGTCAGGCAGAGAGACAAAACCTGAGTGATGTCCTCATCTCCCTCTTTCCCTGCAAAAAAGGAGTTTTAGTCTAACCCAGAACAAACACTTGAAAATGGAAATACTGCTTTTTAGATGCCATTTAATTTAACAGGTGACCTGTAATCTTAGAGAACTTAGAATATTCTTCTTTTTTTTTAGCTGATATCACGAACTTGTGTAATTGAACAGAAATAATCAAACATCTGAAGATCAGTGATAGGTGATTAGTTACAGGTGAACTGGGTTTTAGTTTAAGTTATACTCTGAAATCTGAGAATGTTTCCAGTCTTTGGTTATATGGTCAGATTTCTGTTAACTATCAGTTTTTAGTTTTATCTCAACTTGCTAAGGCTTATGCACTGTCTGCCTTATCTCTGTGAGGTGTGTAGGTGTTCGGTGTGGAACTGGAGAATATACATTGCCTGTAGCAATATTTATTGACCAGGGGTCATCCAGATTGAAACTTGGATCTGACAACTAACATTGAGCTAGAAGTACTACAAACCTATTGATTTACCTGCTTTATTTCTACCTTCTGGCTTCCAGATCATATTCCTGACTTGAATTCATACTGGATGGTTAAAACCATCCAGTCCCTGAGTGAATGTTCTTTGCTGCCTAAATTATAGCCGTGTTATCACAGTCCTTTAAGACAGAACAATGTCATATGCAAGACATAAATGATATATAACATGGTGTAGGATATTCAAAGTGATTTGAGCCTCTAATAAATTGTATTTATCCTACTGATTTCTGAACTCTGAGTAATCATGCAGCTGTTTTGTATGCATGCCTGTATAAAAAGAAATCCAAATGGTCATTCCTTTTGGTCAGCTGCCATTGTACAGAAGGTTAAACCATGCAAATGTTGTCTGAGAAGTGGCTGAACGTGATTTTTAATCAGCTGTTAACTCTGAAATTGAATAAATTACACATATTATTCTAAAAGTAGATTCAAAATTATTTGTTAAGTGCATGAGCATTCTAAGCAGTATTTTTCAAGGATGCTTTATTACATTTCACAATTCATGTTGCTAACATGCATATGATATATAGGGTTGCTAACTTGATAGTAACAGCTTCGTGGAATGACTTCTATGTTAATTTTTAAAAAATATTGTAGGATTTAGGAAGAAAAGTGCGTAAAATAAAATTACTCAACCAAAACATCATCATATAACATAATATAATATAATTGTGATAGTCAGGGCCAGATTTTCAGGTAACATAAACTTGTTGTTTTTCCCTTCCTTTGGCTAACCATTCCATGTACATGGAGTCCCCAGATGTTAGGTGAAAATACCAGACTAGTTTTGGACCTGGAATCTTCTCAGGACCATACTGTCCCCGTTTTCCCAGCTTATGATAAACAGAGATCTTTGTTGAATGTTATTTTTTCCTCCCTGTAAGAGCTTCTGCCCAAGACAGCCTATCAGGACATGGAAATAATTGGGTTTGCTCTCTTTGGCCCTCTAATGATGGGGATATAAATGGTGCCCAGATGGTGGTTTAACTGACTCATTTAATTTCCATGTTAGCAGCAGTACCCAGTGAAATCCCTGAGCCTTGGTGATGATGAGCTTCCATCACTGTTCTCCTTAAGCAGCTTGGCTAGGGACTTAAAGCTCATTGCTAATAAGACATTCAGAAAATGCAATGAGAAATTATTCAAATGGAATTTGACGTCTCATTTTCAGAAGTAAAACGAACCTCCTTGCATAACACATGCAACTTTTAAAAGCAACAACAGAGCAATAAACTATAAGGCAAGAGAGTCTGCTTATCAGTGAGTTAAAATGATAAAATTAAAAGTGAGAGCAGAAAGGTTGTAACTGATGTTGGTGCAAATTAATGTTAAAAATCTGATTAAAGTTTAGATTGAAAAGCAGGCATATGACTCCTAAGTAAGTTGTTCCAAAATGAATTACTCTTGCCCATGGCTATTCTCACACCTCAAAACAAAGTAATACTTCTTGATGATCTCAATAAGTTACTAAACTGCCCTTAAAAACTAATTTTGCATGAAACCCCAGAGCAAAGTCTTGGCAATATTAAGATGCAGAAATTTCATGGCAAGGCATATAGTTATGAGTGCCCTGGGCTGTACGTGCTCATTTGGTATGCATCATAAAGTCAGCAAGCACCCTTTTGTCAGGCACAGTGCTGTAGCCACGCAGGGAGCACTGCACAAGTACTAAAGTTCTTCCGCTTAGCTCTGGATCTTTCATTGTCGGGTTTCTTGTTTCCATTTGTGTTTCTCTAAGTTTGTGGCTGGATTTTTTTCTTAACAAGAGTTTCCTTCGTTACTGTTTTTTTAAAAGCTCAGTCTTACCCAAGTGAAACTTCTATGAAGTTACTGTATTTTACTGGAAATGAGACTTCAACCATGCAAAATTTTGGCAATGTTTCGATTCAATGTTTCATTTCACTTCCATTAACAGGGAAGTGAATGATATTTATATTGATCTGATTTTGAGTGCTGAGTTTTATCCAAGCCCAGCAGAGTTGATGCTCCTTAATTTACCTAATGTTTCCATTCAGTGAGCATCCAAACTGGAATACTTGCCATCACACCTTTGGATTGCATTTTTTGTAACATCTGGGTGCCAGTCAAAGATTAGGGCCCCAACACTGCAGATTGCAGGATCGTGGATCACAGAGTGACAGTGCCATTGCAGGTCATGTTTCTGCGCTTCCCCAGAGCAGCAGCTCTAAAAAGGCAGTTGTGCCACACAGAAATTGCACCTCACTGAGCTGCTCTTGTAGTGCTGGAGGTTCTTGCAGCGTTGTGAGCACTTTCCTCTCTCACTGGTTTCACTGAACGCTCAGCAGCATACTGGATGGAGGCCTCGGGGCCCAGTCTCCCAGGGACTGGCATTTGGAATTTGGATTAATTAAATCGCACAATGAAGAAGCAAAGATACAGCACATAATGAAGTGTACTTAGTTAATTTATATGAAAGCTGCAGCAGAGCTTTTTAAACTTAGTCTTTCATAGTACACTAGTACTGTTCTGTAGTTAAAAATAACAGAATCCTGATGAGATGAGACCTCCTTCCAGTTCTGTTTTCATCCTTGCAGAGAAGTGTGAGGAAGTGTTGTTTTTAATATGTAGATGACAAGGTTTGGGTTTCACAGATAAGCAAAGTGTGAACTCTTAAAGGTTAACTCTGTACTCACATATTAGAAATTGGCCCAAGTCATAAAGTTTACATCTGTTACAGGATCTAAATACAAATTTCACTAAAGCTTAGAAATATTCAAATGTGATGATCATATGCATAGTTAACAGATCTGTGCCTCTAAGCAGTAATTTGGCTGTGAGTCTGGAAAATTCCAATAGTTTGGAGAATTAATGTCTTTTACTCTGGCAAGCATTTGAAAACATTATTTAGTTCAACATGCAAATGCACATCTCAGATTATATATTAATCATGATCATGTATAGTTTATCCTCTTTATCCCTTCACTGTTGAAAATGATATTAAATAAGATACATACCAATTCCTGCTTGACCTACAATCCAGGAAAGTCGAATAAAGAGCATCACACCCCAAATATTAAGCATGCATCTTACCTAGGTTTTAAAGAAAAAATACTGCATTAGTGCAATGTTGGAAGTAGTGTTAACAACCAAAAGAGTGATAGAGTACATTTCAGGCTTTTAAAAAACACACCGAACGTCCCTGAAGTCCACCTCCCTCTCTGAATTCTTAAAAGACCTTAGTGTAACAGAACATATTTTATTTGCTTTTAATTTTTTTGTTTAGGAGCGCGGGTAAGTTTCTCACCAGCACACCCTTCACCCATCCGAACTTGACAAATCCTGCTTTGTTTTCCTCTTCCTTGCCGGCTGCTGTCTCATCCCCGGCGCTGCTCTCTCCATTAGCCACTCTCTCCACCGAGCCGGTGCTCACAGCGATGTTCTGCAGAATCACACAGAAAACAAACACACTTTTGTGCCAAGCAGAGGACACCTGGCTGCAGAAGAGACACGCAGGAGAAGGGAATTCCAAAGAAGATCAGTTTTACTGCTCTGGAGTAGAGAGCAATATTCCACTTACATCGGGCGTCAGCAGGTGGGCTTACTAACAGGGAGGAAACATGAAAGAACTGCTTAAGCAGAGTAAACACATTATTAGCTGTACTCAAGTGTTCTTATTGTGAACTATTCGACAAACATGTTGTGTGGATATGTTAGTAGAGCATCTAAGATAATGAGAGGCTCCTGGTTGGCCTCTGAATGCTGTTGCAACAATTTATGAATAACTCCAAGTGTAGAAGGAGAGATAATTGCTCACTAGTGAAAAGAGACGGAGTGCTGTATGGTGAAGTTATGGGATGAACTCCAGTGTTTTCTGTTGGATAAAGTACAAACATAACTGCAGCAGCAGATGGGTAACATATTCCTGAAAACAGTTAGAGAAATGCCAGTGAAATGTAGTAAATGAATAATCCTTTCTGTGTTTTAGCCACCTCTGGTGTGACCATAGTAAATAGGATTAGGAGTTGCTGTATTTGTGGTGTAACCAGAATAATAGCACAGAATTTTGGACTGTTCACATCCAGTTACAGATATGAATCTGTATTTTATCTCTTCAGCTCTTCTGCCCCAGAATCTTTGAGGCAATTTAGCACCATGATATGTTTCTTGTGGCTTGAATAAGAATTAGTCATGGTGCTGAGGTTTATACTCGTTGTCATTGCTGCTTTTAATTTCTATTTTTATCTTATTCAGAGCTCTCACTGGTTCTGGGAGGAGCTGGCATTAGGTTAGCTATTGCCAGATATTTTCTGGGTCCTCTGCAAAGGCCTTCAGGAAGGACCGTGCCCCTTGCCATAGTCTGCCAGAGTCAGGAGCAGGTACCACTTCAGGAGAGGAATCAAGGTGCTTTTAGGGTTTGGAGGTTAATGAAGATATTTCCAGATTAACTAAGCATGTCAAAGAGGAAAAACATCTGTAATTCTGTGTAATGTGAGATTTTTCATCTTGCTTGACTTTAAGGCTGTTTCTGTATTTTGTCCATTAACTTAAAAATACCCAACACACAAACCCAAAACAGACATAAAGACCAACTGAATATGCTTTATACACTAATGTCTGGACTTGCCCCTCGTGGATGGGGGCTCTAGCCATGATGGTGCAAGGCTGTAGAATGCCTTTGACATGGTAAATCCAGGACTGTGCTCACAAATGAGAAATAAGTGACTTGATAATACATTTTGACATGGACTAAACTTGGTGGCTACAGCCTTGTTGGCCCTAAGTGAAATGGGAATACAAGATCTATTGAGGGCCTGTGACTTTGAGCTCCTGAGTTACTTAGATACTTTTGACTATTCTTACCCTGAAATAATAATGGCTGTGTTTGCTCAAAATATGGTAAATGATTAAAGTGAGTTAAGAAAGATCAGCAGAATAATATGAGGGTTTTTTGCTACAGTGGTTAGAATTTCAAAGACAAAAAAATTAAAAGGATTTGGTCTTTGTACTTGAAACAAGTTGTTTCCTCTGTACTTTGAATTAATTTGTGCTCTCTATGCCATTATCATAAATTATGGCCTTAAACCTTCCATAAATGCATTTTAAATTGGTGTGCTTTAGTGAATGATTGGTTATTTACCAAGCAGCTGTACCTGTGCTACTCATGCATTAAGGATGTGGAATAAAAGTGACAGAACATTTTGAAAAGCTACTAAAATAAAAAGTTAAGTGCTTAAAACAAAAAAAAAATAAAAAAGAACTAACCCAAACATTTTCCTTTCCTTGTTTCAGAATGGCTTAGTCTTCATCTCTCCTGGGGCTAAAGATGATGAGCTCATCAAGTCTCCATAACAAGTGTGGAGAACAGCCAAGAGGAAGAAAGGTTAGATTATTTCTTATGTAGGGTAAATATTAAGCCCAAGTAATTATCACCAGCCATCAGCTGTGAAGTAGCACTTAGACTATTTTTTAGGGATTTAATTGGCGATCTGTGGCTTAATATGTGCGAAAAACTGACACGTCTTGCTAAAAGATGACACACATTTGACTCCAGCAGTGTGCAAACTAGATATTTGAAGTTCCTTTCAGCCTGCCTTACATTCTGACATTTGAAAAATTGCATATTAAAAAAATGTATTAAATATTAATATTTATCTTCTGATGTGAAGCCCAGCATCAAAGCACAATTGGAATGCTTATGTGATGTTTAGCAGTCTGAAGTCAAACATATGCCACTTCTTATCAGAATCTGGCAATGGGCTTTTGACAGCAGAGTTGTCTTCAACAATTTGAGTTTCAGATTGGGAGCGAGGGGGGCGGGATTGCCTTGGGGTGTAGTGTGGTAAACCCAGATTGTAGTGTTAAAGTAAAGTAGAGAACCTTCTTCAGAGCTGCCCCTCGGGCTGTTGTGTAACCCCTGTACCCACTCAATGGAGCATTTCATCCCCTCCTTGCTGGTGGCCAGAGCTCCTGCTGCTCATACATACCCTATCCTCCTGATAGGAGCTCTGCCTTTTCATACCATCCTAATTCCCTTCACTACTAATCTGCTATTTGGTGACCTCGTGTTTGTTTATCCTTCAGAACAGGCTCTGCAGACTGAAGTGATTTGTCCAAGGTCACCAAGGAGGACGGTGGGACAGGCAGGCCCAGACTCCAGCCCTGCTAATGGCGCCTCGTTTGTTCCAGGGCTGTGGGCAGTGGCTCCCACACCAGGGCCACAACTCACAGAAGGGCACAGCAGGTTGCCAGTGTAACAAAAATCCCATTACCTCTGACATTCACCTTCCTGTTTTGAAAGGCATAAGATTATCCTCCTGTAAACTGAATACTTGAAAAAGTTGGGAAATGACCAAGCTAGATGATTCTCTTTTCTCTTCCCTAACAGTCCCAAAAAAACCCGTGATGCAATTGTCCATTTTATTCTGTGATGTCATCTGTCTTATTTTTAACCTTCTCTAAGTGAAAGCCTTAAAAAAACCTAAACAAAATTATTTAATTTTGTTTAAAATACACAAACCTTTGAGAGATGCAGCAGTAAAAATTTTCTGGTTATGATCAAAACTGAAAATTCCTTAATATGCTCATGCTCAGTACATGATCATTCAGCATTATGTTTAAAGCCAAGACACTGTTTTACTCCTCTCTGGCCACAACTGAAGTAAATTATTTCTATAAGAGGAAGCTTTCTTCTGGGCATAGAAATGTGCTTAGTCTCTTGGGTAGCGGTTTGTACATCTGCAAATGAATACAGATACCAAATTCACATTTTTTCCCTTTGCATTCGTCTTTGGAAATGCTTCTCCTTTCCATGTAAGCCATTTTAGACAGATCTGTGGAGACCTTAATTGAAGTAAGTTAGGCCAAAGCTAGGAAGCTGTCCTAATAAGATCCTAAAGAATCAGGTCCTAATTTGCTAATGGCTAATTTTTTTCTTGATTTCATTATTTTATATTACCCTCCTTAGGACAGGTGAATCTCCAGAGAGTGAAAGTCTGAACAAGATCTGGACCAGAACCCAAAAATCAGATGCTTGTCCAAATTATCCAGACCTCAGAAGTATGTAAAACTGAGTGGAATGGAGACAAGAGCTTGTTTTCTTTCAAGATTTTTCATTTCCCAATTGTCCAACACAGAAAAAAGAATGGGGATTTTTGCTGTATAGTGACACTTTTAGTCTCAGCTGGACTGCAGCAATGATCTCTCTCCAGCCCTGCCATGATCAGTGCATAATTAAGAACCTCAAAAAAGTTTTTTGATTCTGAAAGTAGCTGTATCCTGTGCCTCCGCTTTTTACAGAGAACTTGGTATTGTGGCTTAAGAAGAAAGAGTCTAGTTTTACTAAAGTCAGTAGAGTAACATCATATTCCACTGTTTTGTAGTAGGTCTTTTAGTAGTTTAACCGTTTCAAAGTGCTTAATCTATTTGTTCTTGCCACAGAAGTTCTTATTACAGCTTTGCATGCTATTTGGTTTTTTTTTCCACATAGGTAATCAAGCCTTAAAATATCTAGATAGGTGACTAGACAGCAAAATTCACCTATCTGAGACAGTAACACAGAAATTAGTAAAATCTGGTATTTGAGACTTAAACATTACCAACTTCTCAAATTCTTTTGATTGGAAGTTTTCAATGTGCCAACCCCAGAGGATTGTACCTGACAAATGTATATTCTTCTGGAAGTAGCCATGGGGGGTGACAAAAGGGAGGATTATCATGATACAAGGCATGTTTTGGTATTTCATTATTCACTTACTGTGGTGTATACATGGAAAAAGTGGAGCAAACAGGAAGAGTCTGCTAAGGGGAAGGGGTTTTTTTCCCCCACAAAATGCATATATATCAATAGTAAACGCCTACACTGAGTCAACCAAAAAAAGGTCTCTCTTTTAGGAGAGCGGAGAAACAACTCTACAAAATCATTCAAAGGCAGGTTAGACAGTTGTGTTCTGGTATATAGTTCTCTCTGTAAGTTTATTTTACATGGATATGGCCCCATCTATTACATAAGCAAAGTCTAAACAGCTCTTCCATTGATAGATTAGGAGGAATTTAGCCAAATCATTCCCCCATAAATGCTTTCTATGCAGTCATTCAAGAGTCTCTTCAGATTCATTTTCGAATTCATTGGAATAATGAGCCTGAAGGCCTAAATTCATTCACTGAATGAGCACCTGAAAACTCTTGTCTGCTGTCCCTCTTCTGAGCAAACACCTCAGCCTCAACACCCTTGTTCTGGATTCTTTTTTGCAGTTTGCATGGTTTGTTATGGCAATAAACAGGGAGTGCTTTGGATTTCTGATTAATTGAGATTGCACATAATCTTTTTTATAGCACATTTGTTAATGAGTAGAATGGAGGAATCTGTCAAAATTAGTTATGCATTGATGTTAAATTCAAGTTTAGAATAAGTGTGAATTGTGTAGCCTGGTTAAATTACAAATTGACATTTATCATCTGCCATCCTAACTCTTACATGGAACAGAAGAGATTAAGTAGATCCATACTTTTAGACAAGATTAAGCAATGTTTTTCTGTTAATCAAGTACGTTATGACCACCTTTTAATAAAAATCTTTGCTTTGAGCAGGATACAGAGCATCAAGCAGACTGCAGTTACCAGAGGAAATATGGTAATTACTTGTACTTTTTCTCTTGGGCAAGGTCCATGAATCTAAGGACTTTCTCATATTAATAAACAGAATTAACAGTCTGGAAATAGAATAGAGAAAAATTGTATCTTTCCTTTTCACTTACCTTTGCCAGTTGTTCATGAATTTCTAATAAGCTTGGTCTGTTGAGCTTATTCCCACTGACGCTGCCAGTGTTCCTATAATAATCAATTTTGGGAACTGGATCCATTGTGTTATGGCCAAAAGTTTGTAGATAATACATTTTAGTGTGAGTATCATAGGGATGTAAACTGGCTTCTGTTTTCTCCGCATTTTGAAGGAAATTGTCATATAATTCTCTTTTTCCTGGTCTGTAACTGATTCTCAGTCTGTTCTGTGTTTCATCAGTAAAAGATGTTTCTTCATAATGTGGTGGGTCAGAGCCCACATCCTCTTGGGCTGTTTCATTGTTGTCAAGGCCTTCGTTAATTATGTTAACTTGAAACCGATTTGCATTTGGATCCGAGAATACATTTGGTGCGTTGTTCATGGACATCTTCAGGGATGCTGCAGACTCAGCTCACTGAGCCCTTTGCTCTTCTGTGGCTGCAGCCAGTTAGTAGCAGCTACAGCAAAGGGTTTACTGCTGTTTCATATGAAATCTTTGCTCCTCAAGTAATGAAGTTCTGAGAATTTTCTCTTGAATGTCTAAGCAGTCTTCCTAATGTTGTCTGCTGGGTTTCTGCTATAAAAGATATAAATAAAACATTTTTGTTTTCTTGCATGGTTTTCCACCGTAAGCTCTCCCTGGCCTAACCAAGTATCCATGAGACTGTCATCCTATGACTTATTGGCTAAAAAAATGGTTGAGTCAAAGGCTGAGTTTGTGGAGATGTTTCCATCTGTAATCGGCACTCTTGACCCCTTAACCAAACCAGCAGTAGTTTGGTACAGGCCTGAGCCCTAAATGGGCCAAGAACTCCTCTAGTTTCAATCTGTTTTATGAAAACCTAGAAAGGAGCAGGGTGACACAGTGAGCATTCGTGTACATGGATCATGGAACATGATCATGCAATGAAAACAGTTGGAAAGCAGGGGGCTGACTCCTCTGTAACCTGCTGCTCACCAAGTCCCTTCCAGGAGAGTTGCTCCCTGTATGGTGCAGGCATTGAGTCTGTCTGAGGTACAGGATTTGCATTTGTCCTTGCTGAATGTCATGAGATTCCTGTTGTCCCATTGCCCTATCCTGTCTGGGTCCCTCTGAGTCGCAGCCCACAGAAAAGTGGACATGGAGCTGTAAAATCTCCTTCTCACCTCCACTTTCCCACACAGACCCTCATCAAAGAAAACAAACGAGCAAACAAAAACACCAAGAAAAGAAGGGGTGTGTATATTTAAGGCCTTTAGTGAGTTAAGTACCTTTTCAGCAATTTTCAGTGTGGGCTAGATGGCCCTTAAATGATCTACAAGTCTTGAAACATATTCCTAAGGAGATTAGAAAGTGGTTGTGTAGATAGATCTGTATAATTCAGCAGAAGTCTGGGCCTATTCAAAGGCACTAAACCAGAGCATGCTTAGACATTGAAACTCTGCAAGTGATTGTAAAAGCAGAAAGTTTTAGAAACAGAAGATATCTTATAAAGCAATTTATGAACTGAAAATCTAGGTAAATAAGCCCATTACAGGCATTTTTTCAAAGTTTCATGCTTTTACAAGAGGTTGGACTAGATGACCTCCTGAGATTTTTTTCAATTTAAATTTCTCAATGATTTCATGAAATGCATTTGGCCACTTGGCACGGAAAGATAAATATTTCATCAATATTTATTGCTCAGCAATGCAAATCTTCTCTAAAATCACATATCAAAATTATAGTTTGAAGAGCTGATAATGAAGTCCTCCATCTTCAGTATGAGGTACACCTAAAGTGTATTTTCTCACTTCTTCCATCAGCTATGGATATTATTCTGCTGCCACCTCCCTGCTATGATACCACTTTTTAACCCCCTCATATTTATGATGGTTTTGCTGTTTAATGTTTTGTAAGCCTCACAGCAATGTTACATTTATTTAGTTTATTTTACTTCTACTGTCTCTAGATTATCAATAGTGTTATTATTATTACACATTTCTTATCACAGATATTATTCTGCTTCCTTCAGCCTTTTAAAGTTGCAAGGAAGTGTTTCATCTTCAGGCATGAAGAAGCAAAAACAAATCTTCTATCATTAAGGTCAGTGAAACTATGTTTGTTTTCATCTCCCTGACTGAATGAAATCCCAATTCTTTGATGACAATTTGCTTTGATGACTTGTGCTACCAAGTAAAATGATTCTGTCATTTCACTGTCTTATTTCCATAATATTACTGTTTTGCTAGGAAAAGTAAAGTCTCTTACCTTTCTGCCGTTCTTGAAAATAACACTTTGGTTTTCACAGTGTATTTCCAGAGGTCTCTCAACTGTTATTTGCCATTAATTTTGTGTTTAGCATTCTAGCATTACACATAAATAATCAAGTTTACCTTATTCAGGGTAATTTAACTTACCATTCAATCCTGTGTTTTTAGGGAAGGACAATCTGCCTCTTTTATTCATGCATATAGTGTGTCCCACTCTTTGAGGCATTACAGACTCTGCCTTATTGGCCAGATTTTTCTCCTACTTAATACACTGAATAGACCATCCAATCCCTCTCTTTCAAAACATTTCTAGATGGTGATTTAGAGAGACATTCTAGCTTGTTACCTATTAACCAGCAAATGTACCTATCCATTACAATTACTGACTTTATGGCATTGCAAAATTTCTAAGGGGGCCTGAAAATACTTTTGTTATCTCCATTTCCCTCCCAGCTATGCCAGATTCTGTGCACAGATCATGTTCTCTCTTGTTTTTCACTTCTGCTTATATAGTCATGCAGATAACGAGTTCAGCACAGGATCTGCTCAGTGCATTTTATGCAGAAGACATTCAGTGAAGCCAGTGGGATCAGTCACTGGGGGGTCCTCTTGTCCTACATGCAGTTTTGAACCATTTACTCCTGACCCCTTTTTAAGTTTTATTATGTATATTTAAGGAAAAGCTTTGAAAAATTATATTCTCTGTATTCTTTCCAGGAAAGACTTCCTTGTCTGTTTGGGATGCAGAGAAGGGCAGGCAGGAAATAACGAAGCTTTGTAATCGTAAGGGAACTTGATAATTGCTTCCAGCAATAGATTGGGTCAAGAACAAAATTGATGATATTGGGGTTCTTTGGGTATGTTTGCTGTGTTTGTTATGTAGTTTAAAGATTACTGAACTATATTTAACCCAGATAACTTAAGAACCTTCAGCACTCTAACCTGACAGCACAGAGCTCAGCTGTGCTGATTAGATGTACATAAAAAGAATGGCAGTGTCAGGTCTCTGCAGTAGATAATCCTATCCAGCAATAACAGATCACACAAATCATTGTACTGATATCTACCTTGGATTTTATGGTTAAATTAACTAGGATAAATGCAACACATTGAATCTCTGAGGGTCTGGCATTTTTTTTTTTCTTATGTACAATCTGAAGCAGTTGAGAAGCCCTTATATTCACAAAACTGTTTATGTTTTATAATTCAGCTGGACCGGTGTAGATTGATGTTGGCTTTTCCTCTCTTCCATACTTCAGACAGAAGATTCATGTCCTTCCCCATACAATCAAGTATTTCATGTTCCAAATGGCACTTGAGGTCTGCTGTTCCACTGTCTGCCTCTGCCTAGTATATAAGGCAAAAGAAACAACATGTATTTTTCAGAATACATGAAAAAAGAAAGCAGCTGCTGTAACTGATCTCCTTGTCTTAGCTCCTCGTTGCAAACAAAGCTGTTTAGCAAAAGTGACAGTGCCCAAAATTCTAATGCCAGCCTTCTTAAAAACTGAATTGAATTTCTGTCAAGTACTGTCACACTTGCTAAACAGCTGTGTGTATGAGGGTGACCTTGAATATCCAGATTTGAGTCTCTGCTTTCACTGTTCCACTTTGCTTTGATAGGATCTCCCATGGCCAGTTCTTCAGTGACAGTCCAGATCACACACTGTACAAAGTTGCAGCTGTGGAGAGGGGCTGGAGAGTACAGAGCTCTGCAGTCAGCTCTGGACCCCTGTCTCTCTTTGGGGCTGGGTACAAATGGGTAAGCAGCATGACTGTCTCTGCTCTGGCCTTGCCAAGCTGGTGTAATTATTGCTGGGAGCTGTTAACCAGGTTAAGTTCCAGTTTAAACTGAATCAACTTTTGTAACCAAGTAGTAAAAAACTGGCAGTTGACCAATACAGCTAGAGTTAGATTGGTTACTTAACATTCAATTTTTCTCTTCACTTAACATTTGTAGCAATGTAGGAGATGCTGGTGAACTGGGACCGTGGTGATGTTGATTTGGATTGGAGTTTGGAGCAGGTAATATGTTTTGTATAGCTGAATGTTTGTAGTATCAAAAACTTCCTTAATGATGTTTGTTTCCTTTCCAGAAATTCTGCTTGAGTTTCTGTTACTGTAGATTGGGAGATCTATCAAAAAAATACTGATGTGAGTTACACAGTGTTTGCAGAGGAGCACATCAAGATTTCACAGAGAAGCAATGATCTTTCCTCATAACCAGTCAGTAGTAGAGCACCTGCTTTTCTTGGAAGGTGAGAGATGAGTTAGTAACTGATGTGATCTTTGGCCTTCCCATTAGTTTCTTAATATTGGTAGCATGTGGACAAACCCATGTTCCTCTCACCTCAGCAACATGGACGCACACCTCTTCCAGGCACCCCTTCAACATTTGTTGTCCTCCACTTTTGTATTCTCAGTGTAAAAGCAAAGACTACGAGTTTCAGAAAATTGTGTCAGATGAGGAGGGGAGGGTGTTACCATTTAAACATTCACCATTCGTGAGCCTGTCTTTTGTGTTATTCATCTTTTTCTCCAGCCTATCATGAGACACAGTAGAAATGAGATCTTTCTCTGAAGAAGCAGATATCATCTGACTCTTAAAATATTGGCCATCATCACTTTCTATTGAATTATTGTAGTATTTGTTTTCTGTTAACCATTTCTTACCTACCATTCCACTGTTCATCAAATAAAAGCAACAGGAAGTGCCTTTTGAGTTTGCAACAAATATTTATTTAACAAAATGGATGCCACCAACATATCTCCAAAATGCGGGTATGTATAACAAACGTAACAACAGTTGGTTTCCAAAATGAAATCAACATCAAATTTAAGGCAGGATATTCTGTGAGTTTTCATGCAAGAGCATATTCAAATGTTCCTTTATCCAGCCCCTCAACTTCATCTTCCCATGTAGAAGAAGGCATACTGCTGTAGGGGTCTAGCAAGATTTTGAAGCATCGGATAATTAGAAGTCCCAAGAAAACACACAAAATCCCCACAAAGGCAAAGCCAGTTTTTTGCTCTAGAGTCAGAGGGAAGGCAGACATTTCGTTGACACTCATGCTGGCTGAAGTGTTGCTGCAGTAATTACTGCTCATCATTGGGCATCACATCTTGGTGACTCTGTGGGGTTTTCACCTCTATTGCTTCTTTGCCTGCATAGAAAAGTCCAATCAGTGTGGTTAGAGCTGTAGTACATGAACATTTCAAAATGAAAACCAGCTTGGATTTTAGCAGTGCAGTGTCCTGTTGTTTTTTCACATTTAAATTAATATGAAAAAATCACAACTTTTAGCCTCTACACACCATCCACTTACTGTGCTCTGAGACAGCAAACTCACGGTTTTCTGGCTTTCTGTCTCCTCAAAACAGAAATTTCAGCACACGGCTGTTGCAAATAGCATTTTGTCAGATTGGGCACAAGTCTACAGATTCTGATTTGGCAATACTCACCAAGGTCTCCACCTGGAGAAACCAGGTAAGTTTTCTGAAATGGCTTTAAATCTCTGTCCTTAAACTAGTTAAACTTGCACTGACCTCAAAGGCAGTTTCAGCCAAATCATGTGGATTTTGCCATCTGATTTAGATCATGAGTCTAAATAAATAGATCCAACTTGTAAAATAAACCCCTGTGTGTGCAATTTTATTGAAGTCTTGAGCCCCAGTTTCAGAAAAAAAATGCTGTGTATTTGAGGTTGTAAGAAAATGAGCATATTGGTAAAATTACCCCTTCAGCTTTCTCTATACATTTCCACTCTTGTGTATGAGGAAAGATTGGTGGGAGAAGAGATAACAGAATTAAATTCCTTTCCCCTCAATCTTGCTCTCATTTGTTTCTTCTTGGTCTTCCCCTTAAACACATACATATCCTGCCATTTTTACAGGAAACAGCAGGTCTGAACCCTCTCCCGATGGTGCTCAGGGGGCTGACCCTGATGTGTGGCCTATGGAGGGCAGGAGACTCAGGCAACTCCCCCCTGCCACCGCCACCGCCACCAGGAGAGCTCGGCGTGTTTCCAGCCAGGTGAAACTTTTTATTTTTGTCTGTTTAAGGAGATCTTTTGTATAGATTTTAATTGGGGGTGGGGATCGTTTTGCTTTATTTTAGGTTTTCTGTCAGATATTAGAATCACATCTTTCTTTTGTACCTATAGACAGCAGGAGATTTGGAAGGACCTGGACATCAAAAGCACCAAAGGACAAAGGCACTTTTATTCTAAGGTTAGAGCTTGAGGTTTCCTGCCTCTTGCTAACACCTATTTAACGAACGTGCCTCAGGGAAAAACTCTTTTTGTTAACAGTTCCACCGTCTTTTCCCCCAGGGAATTACCAGTATCCATTTATTTCTTGGCAGAGTAATTAGGCCACGCGGAGCTCTGTGCTGCCATGGCTACACCGCTGCAGGTACCTGCACTGCTAAGCCAGGTTAAAGGGAGCTCTGGTGTCTCTACTCTGTACTGCAGGCATGGCTGAAAGTAGCCATACCCTACAGTTAAGAACAACAGAAAAAGTTAAAATAAGATTTGGTATTCCTGAGCAGACAGAAATGGACAGAACTTATCTTGTTTGGTGTCTCCTTTCTCACTTCCGAATTTGTGGGATTTTTGACTAATTATCCTGTAGTGAATAAAAGTTTTAAAACAAAGGTTAAAAGGGCAAGACACAACTCTTTTCCTTTTTGCAATAAACCTCAATGTTCTGTGTGCCAGAACATAACAACCAGCGTTCTATTTATTCTGTAGAGCTATGTATGAGATCCTTCCTTGTTTTGAATTATATTCTGCTCTTTGGGTCATACTATTTTAATTCCTGTTAAGCTGGAGAAAAGATCCAGATATGGCCTATTGGAATTAGAAATAATGTCAACAACAAGCAATATTTATTTTCTGAAAATGTATCATAGGTAAAGCCCACCTGCTGTATGGATTTTCATTGGGCATACTTCCAATTTTTCTATTAAGTTTGACCTTATGCAGAGTAAAAAAATCACAGAAAGTTCAATATCACAAATTTATGCCACAAATCAGTTGATTTGAACAAGAACCAGTCAAGGAAAACAATTACTTTCCTAAAGTCATAGGACACTGGGTTATAAAAATTAAATTCAAGGCTTATACTGGAAAATGGTATGTAGTCATTACCTAGAAAAGCCAGACCCCAAAACCCCAGTTGCTACCTTGAAAGACAGAGAAAAATCTTAGGGATAGGCTGGCTGTGGAGAACCCTGCATTTGAGCTGAGTCCAGGCAAATATGTTTGTGTTTGACATGACATTTCTTCACCATAGAGAGCCATTTTCCAAGAGTATGACTTCCAGTCTTACTAATTTTGCAGGTTGCACGCTGGAATTAATGGGATTTGTTTGTACATTATGTGTTTATCAGGAGACACTATGGGACAGATGTCTGTGCAAAACTGGACTGATGCTGAAACATGGAAAAATATATCTTAGTTTTATCCAACAAAAGTTTGGCTGAAATAGCTGCATGAAAAAACACCATGCATTTTGCTAGGAGGATGGGGGGAGGGATTGATTCTGGGAAACTCTAATGTGCAGCTTTGTGTTCTTCTCTTCCTTGTCCTGAATTTCAGAAATTGTAATTGAAGCTTTCATGTTCATAGGAAATTTTGCTTTAATTATGTATCCCCAAAACTGTGGTAGCACGTCTGACCTTGAGTGCCTTTTTATTGTTTCCACATTGTAGTGCTGCACACAGGTTAATGTCCTCTCCCAGTTAGTCAGACACCCTGTCATTTGCTGCAGAGTATGTGTCAAGTCCTGAGTCAGAAGACTGAATGCTAACCAACATGGCCTGGATCCAAAAATCCTCAAAGATAGCCTTTAGGAAAGCGTGATGGGGACAGGCATTGTATCAGTTAGAATCTGCTGAGCCATTTTGGGGGGGCTGGCTCCAGACTGAGCTCGACTTTTTTTTTTTTCTCAGGTCAAGAGTCTGCTCCTTGGAGTTGCCTGTATAAAAACACTGGCCAAAAGAAAGGCTCTTTAACATCCTGCTGTGAAATAAAAGGCCGTTGGAAGCCTTTCTAAGGGCAGAATAAACAATCAGAGTCCTAAAGAAAATAGGATTGAGGAAAACAGCATATAGACCACTGAGCTAAGAAGAACAGAGGTATGAGCTGGGGGTGCTGGCTGCACCTGTGGGGAGGTGGAGAAGGGGAACACTATGGGTACTAAGTATTGTGAGGCAGCTGGAAGAAAGACAAATTCTTATCCTAGGAGCATCACCAACCCAACTCTGCCAATGTTTGGTGTTGATTGAAGACCCCGGTTCCAGTTCTTTGGTGGTTTGGAGTGACAGGATGACGCTTTTTTCAGATCTAGCCTTTACTCGTATATCTACAGAGAATCTGAGAAGATTAAGAAAGTAAGTAGCCAGAATAATCTTCCTTGTATGTTGCATTTCAGTCCTTTTCTCACAGAACTCCCCATAGGACTTATTTTTCTAATGGCTCAGTACTGGAAAGGTGAGTCTCAAGCTGGGAGCATTCATCCTCTTGGCATGATTAAACTTCAGTTGCCTGAAAACCCACTTCATAAACAGTACTGTGCAACAAAATGGACCAAATCACTGGCCATCTGTTCACCTCTTGGATGTCTGCAGCCCAGCTGCTGGTTCATGGATGTGGTCATTCTCAAAGTACTTCTAATAGCTTCAGTCCCAAGCTTGTGTTTGAGTAAGAACAAACCTAACTTGAAAAGGAGGTGATTTGGTTAAGGACGTTTAAACAGTCACTCTCTGGGAGTTTTGGAAGCACCTCATTTGCACTTAACTATCTCTTCAGGGAACCTGAACTGTATTCCAGAAATGCTATAACAGAAATTGGGCATAGGAAGTGATAGGATGAAAAGACTAAGAGTGGAGAAGTCCTAATGAAATAAAAATTTGCATGAATATGGAATTCTCCAGTGGGCCTGAGCTACCTGAGTTAACAACACGTGGCCAGAAATGCTGCAAAAGCAATGCTGTGACCACACAGCCAACCTGTCATGCTCATGTACACACTCCATATTCTCTAAATTGCAGGGCAGAAGACTGTCTCTTCAGGGTTATAAAAAAATATACAGGGAGATGAAGGAAGGAAGGCCAGGGCATGGATGCCCAGCAAATGAAGGTACGGCTCACTGCTCTGCAAGGAGAGCAAAGCCCACACAAGCAGGCAGTGTTTTTGCAGCATGGTAACTCAGCGTGCAAGCAACACTTTTCCACTTAAACAGCATTCCCCTGCAAAGAACCAGCAGCCAGGCAGTGACACTTCCATCCTACCAACAAGCAATGAATTGCAGAAATGAGATTTTATCCTTAGCAAATACGTGAGCCTGGAGTCTCCATCGGACAGGAGCTCTTGTGCTGTGAATGCCTGTATGTAGTCTAGATTTGGATAATACAGTGATGCAGGAAAATAAAACGCTCATTAGCATCATCCTTAACTTATGAACGTGGAAAAGTGTTGCCTGCTTCCCTGGGGACGGCGGCTGCGAGAGACCGAGCACCTGCAAAGCAATTGTTGCTGTAGGATTGCGTGCAACAGCCTTCGCTTTCCCGGCCCCGCGATATCCAAGGAGGGCAGATTTAGGCTCTGCCCCTGCCCCTGCTCCCCCCGCCGCCCCGGGTGCCTCGGTGCCCCCCGCCCCGCCGGGCCGTGCGGGCCAGGCCGGGCCGGGCCGGGCCGGGCCGGGCAGCGCCGCAAGGTCAGAGCCCGCCGCCCGACCGCCCGGCCCGCCGCGGTGCGACCGCGGTACCCACCCGTGTCCTCCGCGCCCGCGCTGCCCATCGTGGCGGAGCGTGGAGCTCCCACGGCTCCGGGGCCGCCTCGCTGGCTGTCGAAAGCCCCGGTTGGAGTCCCGACGGCTCCGGGCACGGGGTGGTCCCGGGCGGCGGAGGGGGGGGCAGCTCGCCCGGGCTCCCCTCGCCGCCCGGCGATGCGACCCCGCCGGGAGATGCTCAAAGCGCCCTAATTAAAAAATTAAACACGGCCGCTGCTGCTACCGCCTCCTCCTCCACCTCCCCGCCCGCCCCCTTCCATCGCAATTCAGCCGCGCTCCTCGCCGGCCCCCCTTTGCACGGATTAGACCGAGGAGCGTGGAAACTTCCTGCAAAACACTACGTGCGGTGCATCGGTAAGGGCCGGGCCGGGGCCGCTGCGGAGCGGGCGGGAGCAGCGCTCCCTCCTCTGCTCCGCTCTCGCCGCCCAGGCCGGGACTGGCTGTCCCTGCAGCCATGGGGGACCGGGCTGCGGTACCTCCCGGGCCGGGAGCGCCGGTACCGGGTGAGCAGCGCAGCCCCGGCGGGGAGCGGGACCTGTGGAGCCGCCCTGGGTGCGGCGGGGCCGCTCCGCTGCCGTGGAACTGCGGGCAGGCGCTGACACACTGAGCTGAGCGAGGCGTGGGGAGCTGAAAGCCTCTTAGGCTGCGCCCGCAAAGCGGACTCGGGTCCTCCCAACAGCTCCAGTAGTAATAATGATTAGAGCTTAAGCCTCGCTTTATATCCTTTCATTAGCTGCGTTTAGTTGATGCTGGTTGTATATTAGAGAGGCTTCCATTTACCACAACGGAAGGTGTTTAAGGTGGATTACGAAAGAAGATTCATTTTCCCAAAGCTGGATCTGTATTTATTGCACTAATAAATAGCAAATCTGTTTTAAAGGATGGCGATTCCTTTTTTGTACAGGAATGCACGTGGGTCAGTGGAACAGGACTGTATCACTCTGATATGCATCATGAGACTTTTGAGACTACTGCAGACCTGCTAGCAGAATTGTTCTGTAGAAAATAATTTTAAAACTCCACATGTTTCTTGCTACATGGAATAACTCTAGGATAGGTTAAACCTTCTTCCTGATACTATGTGGGAAAAAAGCAGTTTGCATTGCCTGCCATTTTACTGCCTGACTCCTCTGCTGTATCTGCAGTGGACTTCTAAGCATTGGGCCGAGTCAAAATATAGATTTCTCCTGCTAGTAGAACTAATGATTAAACTGAGGGGTAACTATGTACTTGCTAATCGTTATTAGTTTGATCTTCTAATGTTGCAGCATCAGTCATGTGGTAAACAATGTCTGTTGCTGAAATTGTAAGTCAAGCTAATTTTTGAAGTGCCTCTCATATTTGAAGATCCAGGAAGACTTTATAAATAGATAGTTTTAAATAGTGTAAGATTGTGCTTTCAGAATATTTATATAAAGAACCTCTACTGTTCCTAAGGAGCTCTAGTTTTCTTTTTTAGCCCCGTCCCTGAACTACTTGAGGGCCCCATGAAGGTCTCACTAGATGGAAACAGCTACGGTTTGGGATTCTGGGAGTAGCAAACACAAAGTCTGAGAATTTCATGGTACCCCCTCAACTTAGCTCAACTGTGAAGGGAGAGGGACATAAATCCAGGCTTTTTCAATAATAGTTGAGCGTTGCTATACTTGGAGACCTTTACTGGAAGTAGGTCTTGGGAGTAACCAGGATGACTGTGTCTGCTCTCTCTGGGAGTGAGGGACAACACTGACAGTAGAAACACATAAATTCTGAGTGGGGGTGTCTTGTCTCTTCTAGTGGAATTCAGCCATTGATGCTGGGCCTTTCACTACCATTTTTTCTGGAAAAAGTTTACTTGTGGAATCTTACTCCTTGTAGATGTGATATTATCCTTTTGTTTTGTTGTTCTTGTAGGATTAAATGTTGAGGTTTTTTAACAGTGAAATAATTACCCCTCTTGTACTATGACATTGCAGAGGTTGCCATGTTGATTATTTCTAGGAATCTGATACTCATGTTCTAATTTAAGGACTTTTCTTTTGATTTTATGTATTGGAGATCCACTTCTCAAGGAAATGAAACTGGCAAAGAAACTGGCAACCAGCACCAGGGAATGACTCTCCCCTCTTCAGCTACCAGTTGTCAGCAGACAAGTAGCACTGTTTTTCTGTTGAGTGTACGTGACCCATTCTGGGTACACAGACAAAGGGAGCGTTCACTACTCTTCACTTGCCCTTTCTTTATCAGGCTCCATCTTTTCTATGTTCAACAGAACAATAACTATCACTTCCATCTGACTTCAATCATATTTGCTGTTAATTTGATCCTTGTTTAGGGAGTGTTGTTTTTCCTCAAAGGAGAGCCCTTGATCAGACATAGAGATTTTATAATCATTTGGTAATTTGTTACTTGGATCTTGCAAATTCAACGGGCCTAATTTAAGGTTGGGCAAGTGGGCGCCAATGAGTGAGAAGCAATAAGGAACTCTTGGAGCTATTAGCTGGTTAATACTTTTGATGTTTAAGGATCTCTTGAGTGGTGTAGGTGTTAAGAAAATATAACTGCTTTGAGGGACAACTAACTCCATTGTAACTTGCTTTCCAGTATAGCTTTAAAGAGCTCTTTGAGAGTTCTTTCCCAAGCAAACTCTCCCTTAAGTTGCTAGAAATTTTAAATGGGCTGAAATAGGCAGAGTCAGTGAAGAAGATGGTGCACAGAAGAAACAGATCAAATTGAAAATCCTCTCCTAAGCAAATTTAAGCAAGTTTTTGAGAATATGCATAATCAGAAAGCAATAGTATGTAGGGGATATAAAAGCAGTAATAGAGGGGCACAGCGGAAGTGTGTGAGAATGATATAATAATTTATGTATTGATCACAGTAGCAAGTGGGAATTATTTTAAGTATTTGAATTCAGGGTATTTAACATTTCTTCTACCATGTTTTTTTTCCTGTAATATTAAAAATAGGAAACGTGTAGTGATTCAGAAACTGAAGAAGGCTGAAAATCACCACTTTGAAGTCCAACCAGTGTTAGTGTGGGCAAAGGTGGAAGAGGGAATGCATACAGTGAAAATCAACAGTGCCACCTTGTGTGGGTGGGACAAGAGAGTTCAGCCGTGAGGAGGGCAAATGGCCCCAGGTGTGTCTGCAGTTCCTGCACCCCGGGATTGGGGCAAGCCCCTGGCCAGCGAGGGAGAGGGCAAAGGGAAGGATGGGTTCTCTTTAGACCTGCAGGATGTGGTGTTTACTGCCTCACAGTGAAAGGCAGACATGGTGGGTATGTTAGGGGCGCTCAGCCTGACAGTGGGGACCACATGTTGTGGAAGGAAGGACCAAAACACAAGC